CATGGTGGAAGTGACCTATACCCAGAAGAAAGAATTCCAAACCCCTCATTCTCATTTCAATGTTGCCATCGCTGCTTGGGTCACCGCCCAAGCACGTCTCAAGCTGTACGAGACCCTTGCCCTGGTGGGTCGCAGGGTCTTGTACTTTGACACGGACAGCGTCATTTACATTCATCGACCCCATGACGCCAATCCAGAGCTGGGTCATTCGTTGGGTGAGTTTACAGATGAACTGGACGGAAACACCATCAAGACGTTTGTGTCAGGAGTCCCCAAAAACTATGGCTATGAGTTAATGAACCCCAGACCCGATGGAACGCACACGACCTGCAAAGTGCGAGGGTTCACTTTGAATTACAGAAACCAACAACATCTCAACTTTGACACCATGAAAGGACTGATACTGGGACAACGGCCTGGGAAAGAGGGGTCAAGTCAAGTCATGGGTAATTTTGCTGCAGATTGTCCAGAACCCAGTCGAAAGAAGACACCCCAGCGCCCCTGTTACAACTGCCAAGTCGTGGGTCATTTCGCTGCAGATTGCCAAGAACCTAGTCGAAAGAAAGGTCAGCAACACCGTCCACGTCGGCACCCGTGGCATCCCTGGCACCCATGGTACCCGTGACACCCGTGACACAAGAACTTCATCTCACAGAAGACATGCATGCCGATGTCCTCGACCTAAAAGAATGCCTCACACAACTCCGTGCAGGCATCACACCTCGTCTAGAGAAAAGAAAACGGAACAGAAGCCCCTCAAGAAAACACGCTTCAAAGCGACGACGACACCTTCAGTCCGAGGATGAGATGGATGTAGAGGATGAAGAAGATAGATCATCTGAGCACTGTTTTTTCCAGTTTCCCATCGTTTCCAGTTTTTCCAGTGTTCCAGTGTTCCAGTTTTCCAGTGTTCCAGTGTTCCTGCCGTTTCCTGTCGTTTCCAGTTTCCAGTTTGTTTTTCCAACGGCCTTTTTCAGGGCCTAACCATCTCTCCCGAAAGAACGTTTTCATCCTTTGCTTTGACGACCCTCAAACCCCCAAACCATGAACCCGCCTCCTCCTTCCCTCCCTTCCTCCCTCCCTCCACCACCACCACCCTCCCTTCACCACCACCACCGCCTTTTCTATGTTTAGAAAAACAACAACAACAATAAAACTCTTTTCTTGTTCACCTTTTACGACCGCTTCCCTGGTTTTTTTTCCCCCTTCCCTCCCTCCCTCCTCCTCCCCCGGAAAACGGAGGCAACGTCCTCTTGGAGGTGCGCACGCCACCGGACACGGAGGCGACGCCCTCTTGGAGGCGCGCGCTACCGGACACGGATGCGACGCCATCTTGGAGGCGCACGCAACCGGAAACGGAGGCGTAGCCCTCTTGGAGTTGCGCACGCCTAGGGAAACGGAAACGCCGCCTCTTGGATGCGCGCGCAGGTCCCATCATGCCCTGCACGCAGGCGCAGGTCACGTGACCGGAAGTGACGTCACAGAGGTCACGTGATCCACTCGACCAGTCAGAAGCCAGGAGCGGTCCTGTACTGCTGCACACAACTACTCATGTCTGCATTTTTTATCATGTGAATGCTTAGTATACCTACTTTTAGCTACATGTTGTTACGAAGTGATGTCCAAATTAAAACGGAAGGGTTATCCCAGAAATTGATTTACAGATCTAATCTAAAATGAATAAAACACCGCACAAGTTTATCGAATAATTAACATATTTAAGCACACGGTGTTAGGCCTACGATCAAGCAGCAACACAATGAGACAAATAAGTGGCGCCAGCAGTAAGTGACAGGCCCATGACGTAATGGAAGTGCACACACAAATGTTCATAATTTGTCACTATTTCGAAAAAGGTCTGTTATTGTTCTTAAACCCGAAATTATGCTGGAAAGAATTTGGTGTTGACAAAGGGGTATCCAATCCGCAAATTACGTGCAGTAGAAAAGACGCTAGTCACGTTAAAATAGTCCACAAGACCCCATGTTGCTCGTATGTTTGTACAATGTATATAGGTGAATGTCGCTAACCGCGGCGTATAATAACACTCACTTATTACCTTCTCCTGCCAGTCTCAAATTAGAGACAGCCAAAAATAAGAAACTGGTCAAATTAAAACATATCGTTGATATATAGATGCTAGATCCCATGTTGTTCGGATATAGGTACAATGTATATAGGTGAATGTCGCTAACCGCGGCGTATAATAACATTCACTTACTACCTTCTCCTGCCAGTCTCAAATTAGAGACAGCCAAAAATAAGAAACTGGTCAAATTAAAACATATCGTTGATATATAGATGCTAGATCCCATGTTGTTCGGATATAGGTACAATGTATATAGGTGAATGTCGCTAACCGCGGCGTATAATAACATTCACTTACTACCTTCTCCTGCCAGTCTCAAATTAGAGACAGCCAAAAATAAGAAACTGGTCAAATTAAAACATATCGTTGATATATAGATGCTAGATCCCATGTTGTTCGGATATAGGTACAATGTATATAGGTGAATGTCGCTAACCGCGGCGTATAATAACATTCACTTACTACCTTCTCCTGCCAGTCTCAAATTAGAGACAGCCAAAAATAAGAAACTGGTCAAATTAAAACATATCGTTGATATATAGATGCTAGATCCCATGTTGTTCGGATATAGGTACAATGTAAATAGGTGAATGTCGCTAACCGCGGCGTATAATAACATTCACTTTCTACCTTCTCCTGCCAGTCTCAAATTAGAGACAGCCAAAAATAAGAAACTGGTCAAATTAAAACATATCGTTGATATATAGATGCTAGATCCCATGTTGTTCGGATATAGGTACAATGTAAATAGGTGAATGTCGCTAACCGCGGCGTATAATAACATTCACTTACTACCTTCTCCTGCCAGTCTCAAATTAGAGACAGCCAAAAATAAGAAACTGGTCAAATTAAAACATATCATTGATATATAGATGCTAGATCCCATGTTGTTCGGATATAGGTACAATGTATATAAGTGAATGTTGCTAACCGCGGCGTATAATAACATTCACTTACTACCTTCTCCTGCCAGTCTCAAATTAGAGACAGCCAAAAATAAGAAACTGGTCAAATTAAAACATATCGTTGATATATAGATGCTAGATCCCATGTTGTTCAGATATAGGTACAATGTATATAGGTGAATGTCGCTAACCGCGGCGAAAATAACATTCACTTACTACCTTCTCCTGCCAGTTTCAAATTAGAGACAGCCAAAAATAAGAAACTGGTCAAATTAAAACATATCGTTGATATATAGATGCTAGATCCCATGTTGTTCGGATATAGGTACAATGTATATAGGTGAATGTCGCTAACCGCGGCGTATAATAACATTCACTTACTACCTTCTCCTGCCAGTCTCAAATTAGAGACAGCCAAAAATAAGAAACTGGTCAAATTAAAACATATCGTTGATATATAGATGCTAGATCCCATGTTGTTCGGATATAGGTACAATGTATATAGGTGAATGTCGCTAACCATGGCGTATAATAACATTCACTTACTACCTTCTCCTGCCAGTCTCAAATTAGAGACAGCCAAAAATAAGAAACTGGTCAAATTAAAACATATCGTTGATATATAGATGCTAGATCCCATGTTGTTCGGATATAGGTACAATGTATATAGGTGAATGTCGCTAACCGCGGCGTATAATAACATTCACTTACTACCTTCTCCTGCCAGTCTCAAATTAGAGACAGCCAAAAATAAGAAACTGGTCAAATTAAAACATATCGTTGATATATAGATGCTAGATCCCATGTTGTTCGGATATAGGTACAATGTAAATAGGTGAATGTCGCTAACCATGGCGTATAATAACATTCACTTACTACCTTCTCCTGCCAGTCTCAAATTAGAGACAGCCAAAAATAAGAAACTGGTCAAATTAAAACATATCGTTGATATATAGATGCTAGATCCCATGTTGTTCGGATATAGGTACAATGTATATAGGTGAATGTCGCTAACCGCGGCGTATAATAACATTCACTTACTACCTTCTCCTGCCAGTCTCAAATTAGAGACAGCCAAAAATAAGAAACTGGTCAAATTAAAACATATCGTTGATATATAGATGCTAGATCCCATGTTGTTCGGATATAGGTACAATGTATATAGGTGAATGTCGCTAACCGCGGCGTATAATAACATTCACTTACTACCTTCTCCTGCCAGTCTCAAATTAGAGACAGCCAAAAATAAGAAACTGGTCAAATTAAAACATATCGTTGATATATAGATGCTAGATCCCATGTTGTTCGGATATAGGTACAATGTATATAGGTGAATGTCGCTAACCGCGGCGTATAATAACATTCACTTACTACCTTCTCCTGCCAGTCTCAAATTAGAGACAGCCAAAAATAAGAAACTGGTCAAATTAAAACATATCGTTGATATATAGATGCTAGATCCCATGTTGTTTGGATATAGGTACAATGTAAATAGGTGAATGTCGCTAACCGCGGCGTATAATAACATTCACTTACTACCTTCTCCTGCCAGTCTCAAATTAGAGACAGCCAAAAATAAGAAACTGGTCAAATTAAAACATATCGTTGATATATAGATGCTAGATCCCATGTTGTTCGGATATAGGTACAATGTATAGAGGTGAATGTCGCTAACCGCGGCGTATAATAACATTCACTTACTACCTTCTCCTGCCAGTCTCAAATTAGAGACAGCCAAAAATAAGAAACTGGTCAAATTAAAACATATCGTTGATATATAGATGCTAGATCCCATGTTGTTCGGATATAGGTACAATGTATATAGGTGAATGTCGCTAACCGCGGCGTATAATAACATTCACTTCCTACCTTCTCCTGCCAGTCTCAAATTAGAGACAGCCAAAAATAAGAAACTGGTCTAATTAAAACATTTCGTTGATATATAGATGCTAGCATTTTAGACCAATCAGAACGCTTCTCACTATCCAGTCCGGATAGTGATATAACACACGAGTACACCACTTCCTGGCACTGACGTGGGCAACCTGTCCAGGTCAATGTACATCTACGCCTACTTCCACCGCTTTCATCCACATCGTACACGCGTATAAACGACATCCATGCCAGATACGCAGTGTTCATCGAATTGAGATCTTCGTAGCACGAGCACAGCCTGATATTCCCTCATCGTGGTGAGTTTAATATTATAGCGTCGTATTGATCGTCTGTGCAGACAACTGTATATACGCGTGACGTCATGGTCTCGTGGCAATGCTGCTGTACACAAGCAATAGGGGGGTGGGGGGGGATGGGGGGTGGGGGAGTCATGGCTGGTCAGTGAGGGGTGACGTTCTTTAACAATACAGGGCAGACAGTATAAAGGGTCGCATTAAATAAAGAACAAAATAAATGGTAAGCGAGAAGAGTAAATGTTCAGATGACACTCCACGTTCGCCTAAAGGTTGGGGGTATATAACTAACTTTGACCAAACCCAATTCTTTGTTGGCCAGCTTCCCGTCATTCAGAAGAAGCAAAGAAAACCACGTAGACCTATCCACAAGATCGTTAGCGGCAAAGCCATAACTGAACCAGAGATAGAAATTCAAGTTAAAAACTATGTTAAAAGTTCAACTTCTAAACAGCCATAAAAACATAAAAGTACCACCGAGCCAGCAGCGGGACCATCCGCTGCGATTAATCTACTATACAGCAGTGACAGTGAGGATTCGCCAATATCCGATGACGAAACATGTTGCGTGTGTCATCACTTTCAGCCCGCTGAACTGGCCCAATGCACATCACTGTTTTTCGTACAATGGGGGCAGTGCAAGTATCATGACTGTTACCACTGGGTGCACTTGCAGTATTGTTGTCCAGTGAGCGTGCTTCGGACGCATGACACGTGCTTATTGCCCTAGCCATGGTCTGCCATGCAAACCATCGGAAGAGTAGGACTGAAAGAGGACACAAACTTACCTGTAAATAGTGTACATAACTTTATTGACAAGATTCGTTTTGGAGTTGTGTGTTAAATAACTATGCTCTTCAACTGTTATCAGCCGACACAGAAATGCTGGTAGGTACAGATTCGAATTCATAAAAAAATATTACACAGTAACGGTACTGGGCTTTCGTACATAGCGATACAATAATCTCATTCGTCACCCCTCGCCCCTTTCCGTAACCTGCAAGAAGACTCGTCCCCCTATCGATGAATGTTATGTGCGAAAATACGACAAACCAATCAGAATGCGCGTATGATTTCAAGTTCTTCGTCAAAGAATCCCTCAGAAACAATTTTTGATTTTACATATGTCGTGCATCTAAAAATATACCCAAGACACAGTTAAATGTGTTCAATCATACTGTATAAATCCGCATGTCCCGATGTGATTTAAATTGCAGCTGAAATATATATAATATATGGGGAATTATTTGTGAACCATTACGCAACGAGTAGACAATTGTTTTAGGTATGCCCGTTTGCGCTAAGACGGAACCCGGTCGCAAAAATGGCCACGAGAGGGGCACGAGTTGCTCACGAATGACAATAATGTACTACGTAGTTCACGAATCAAGCTGACGTCACATTTTGTGTGCACATGAATGGCTGATGAATGCAAATGGCTTCGGTAAACAAACTTTTCAGTCACGAGTGGAATCTTGGTCATTTTCTTATAGTTTAATAGATGAATTAAATGATCAGTGAGTATACAAAACAAAATCGGACATTTAAACCACGAATTTGGGTGAACTTTCCTTATATCCACGAATCATGGTTACGCGAAGGTATTTATTACTGATGTACATTAACAATACTTACCCCACACTCAGCACATGCTTTTTTCTATCTGTATAGTTTAATGCTCTACCGATTATATATAATGTGGCACAGGTCACGCATTGTGGATTTGAATTTGTTAGTTGGCAACACGGTCGACATGGGCAGCGTGGTACAGCCTTGCCTTGGGTGCAAATAGTATTCCGGGTATAACATAATCCCATTGCAGTATAGCCGTGCCACTAGCCTGTGTGAGTGAGGGAGTGAGTTTAGTGCGTGGGTGCGTTGGTGGGTGATTTTGAGAGTGAATGAGTGGATGGGAGAGCGGGTGTGTGGGTGGATGAGTGGAGAGTGAGTGGGTGTCGTGCGTGGGTGCATGGGTAGGTTAGTGAGTGAGTGTTGCTAAGGACCCTTAGGTGAGTTATGTTGTCGCGTTCGTGAATCCTGTGTGTCGTCCGTTACACTCCCCTGCTTCTGAATAAGAAAAAAAGTAGTATTAAGGTGTATTGAATTCAAATATTATTTCCTGGAATTAACAGAAGGCAATGTGTTGTAAAGCATTAGACTTTTGACGGTGCACCGCACACACAAGACGGCTGGATATAGCACTGTAGCACTGTAGCACTGTAGACCCGTCGTGCCTGCACTTGTGTCACAATAGTACCCCGAATGGTAACGTGTGTTGAAAATTTAGTCATACAAGTATTAATAAAACAATTGTAACATGACCACGACTGCATGTTACTCACGCTGTGTATTTTCAACAGGTAACAACAGCTGTGGAATGAGGTCGGATGTTATCGGTTCGGATGAGATGTACATGGCAATTGCCATAGCAACGTCCCGCCGAAGTAGAGATCCAGTGAGACAGGTAAACGCGCTTGTCACTGAAGTCACTATCCTCAATTCAAACTGCATACACACTATCTACACCTGGCGTTCTTGGTACATACCACTGTATGTATAGAAAGTAATGAAACCTATGATCGAATAATGATAATAATAAGCCATTTATATTGCGCATATTTCAACACCACTCAAGAGCATGCTTAAAGCGCTATTATTACTCCGGTCACTGGATTAGTGTACACTGAAGAATCATTCTCAGCTCCCTGGGGAGTATACAACCCAGGATGCCTGTTAGAAGGTCAACAACCACATTGCTAACACATCCTACCGGGTACCCATTCACTGCTGGGGGAACAGAGGCACTTTTCGAACAGTCACTTGCCCAGGTAGACGCCACACGTCTTACATAAGCTTCAGTGTGGGTCAGGACCAAAACCCTGGCTACTATCAGAGCCAAGTTGCCGAAGTGGGGTCAAGGACTTTCCGCTACGGACATTGCTTAACTTTACTTGATTTGTGACCTGTGCAAGCAGCCACAATCATACAGACAGATAGTGTACTTCAGTCTCAGCTCAGTTTTACATATCAAACACTAATATAATGTGATATAAAACGAGAAACTTAAATCTAAATGAGAGAATAAAATAATGTTCAAGACAAATTAAGAAAATATCTCTTGAATAAAATACAGAATAAATTTAAATAACATACAGAATAAACTGAAAATATAAATGCGTTAAATCTTATATTAAATGTTCTTGCGCAGATTTGAAATGACTTAGCAGGTATTGGTCCAAAATACTGAAACTGGCCGGGATAGAATCACCTTTTAACAACATCCCTTTCATTACTGAAATGTGACCACAGTTCATTGCTTGTATTAAGTGAAACCCGAAGAACATCATTTTAAACCGGACATTGCAATGAAACATGTATCTCATCCTCCACTCAGCTGATATACTTAAACACTATAAGTTGTAGCAGGATCACGAGGGGTACATGGGTTTTATGCGTCCAGAGTTTGGTGGTATACTTTATCTCACAGACATGTTTTGATATGACTTTGTGTCACGTGACATCCATTGGCTCTGAAAAAGCGTGTTGGTTTTTGCTTTGAAGCGGGGTATAAAGGATATATTCTGGCTCGCAGAAATGAACATGCAGCCTGTAGTGCTCGTGGCGGGGTATAAGAAATTTATTCCCCCATTGAGAAATGTATAGCCCTCCAAGGCGGGTTAAACAGTATTTTATCAAGATCACGTGGACCAATCAGATCCCATCATTCTTGTATCATGAACTCTTTTATAGGTACGTTTGTATATTGTCCAGTTGCCAGGCGTATCGGAGCAACTGGTGATTTACGCTGTTCAGCAGAGATGTGGGCATTTCAAAGATACATGTGCGCTTAATTCGCAGGTCGGTGGCCGACTGATTTTTCAAAATTCCATACTGTGACTTCGTGCGAATTTCGAAGAGTGAGTGAGTATGATTTTATGCCGCTTTTAGCTATATTCCAGCAACATCACGGCGGGGGACACCAGAAACGGGATTCACACATTATACCCATGTCGGGAATCGAACCCGGGTCTTCGGCGTGACGAGCGAACGCTTTAACAACAACGCTGTAACAACCCGGAGTCGAAGAGGTTGAAGGAGGAGGTTGTCATCTTCAAGGCAAAGAGTACATCATTCAGGGTTCACCAAAGCAGATGGTTTACTGCATAGCCTACATGACCTAATGCACTGATGTCCATTCATTAATTCTTATTACACTATTGTCATGCTCGTACAGCTAATATATATACTCACTAGACAGTCCCCTATCACAAATAACGTCGCCGAATACTCGTCATCAAGTTGCGAGCGCATGTTCGAGTCTCGAGAAATGACGTCATGATAGAACAATGTTATAGGGTAAAATAAACCACGCTTCGTTCTTCCTTGGTCTTTGCGATAGTAGTAGTGCCATTTGTAATTTAGCCGTAATCGGACTCCATGCGGCCTATATGAAAATGTGATACTACTTAATATGACATGCTTGCCGTAAAAGGAGACTATGCTTGTCGTAAGGGGCGACTAACGGGATCGGGTGGTCAGACTTTGTTGATGCATGTCATCGATTCCAAATGCGTGGATCGTCGCTCATGATATTAATCACTGGATTGTCTGGTCCAGACTATTTACAGACCGCCGTCATATTGCTGGAATATTGTTGAGTGCGATGTTAAACAACCAACCAACCAACCAACCAAAAACTTAATATGAGTAGCATTACCACCAACATCTCTTACCAGATACAACTCCGCCCCCCTCCCAAACACACCCAGTCTTAACAACAATATTTACGCGGATTAGGCATCAAACGATACGGCATTTGGACTTCGTGCGAATAATTTTGGTCAACCGGTCGAGGTCCTGAGTCACCTCATCTACCCCGTGAATGCACGTCACCATATACATGAAATAATCTTGACCGCGAAGCTAAAGCGTGACTTCACTTACTCACTGACTGATAGTCAGAAAAATCATCGCTGTAGACAACATGCGACATGTCAATTGAGCAGAGTCTTTGTGACGGTGTTTACAGATCTACAGTTTCGCATTCCTAGAATAACATTTGAATTAAAAGAATACATTTTTAAAAATAGTAATTTAGAAGGTGACAATCAATCGAGTCACTGGGTCTAATATCTGCAAAGCATCCGATGTCATTGAAATATCAATATACATGAAGTTCAGTATCAGCGAAGCATCAGTATAAATGAAGTATCAATATCAGTGAAGCATCAATACAAATGAAGTATCAATATCAGTGAAGCATCAATATAAATGAAGTATCAATATCAGTGAAGCATCAATATAAATGAAGTATCAATATCAGTGAAGCATCAATATAAATGAAGTATCAATATCAGTGAAGCATCAATATAAATGAAGTATCAGTATCAGCGAAGCATCAGTATAAATGAAGTATCAATATCAGTGAAGCATCAATATAAATGAAGTATCAGTATCAGCGAAGCATCAGTATAAATGAAGTATCAATATCAGTGAAGCATCAATTCAAATGAAGTATCAATATCAGTGAAGCATCAATATAAATGAAGTATCAATATCAGTGAAGCATCAATATAAATGAAGTATCAATATCAGCGAGGCATCAATATAAATGAAGTATCAATATCAGTGAAGCATCAATATAAATGAAGTATCAATATCAGTGAAGCATCAATATAAATGAAGTATCAATATCAGTGAAGCATCAATGTAATGAAGTATCAATATCAGTGAAGCATCAATATAAATGAAGTATCAATATCAGCGAGGCATCAATATCAATGAAGTATCAATATCAGCAAGGCATCAATATCAATGAAGTATCAATATTAGCGGGGCATCAATATCAATGAAGTATCAATATTATTAAAACATCAACATAAATGAAGTTCAATATCAGTGAAGCATCACTCCAACGGGATTTAGTTATTAAATTATTAGTATCACTTTCACAGGTTGGTGCATGCGTGGTGGACGACTATGGTAGCGTGAAGGCAGTTGGCTACAACAATATGCCGAACGACGACAACGACATGTACCCCTGGTGTAAGGACGACCCAGATCCATTACAACACAAACGGCTCTATGGTGAGAACATATGGCGTCCTGTACACATAACAACTGAGTGTGAACGCAACTAAATTGTTTGCACCGCGAGGCCCATGTGATGCAACAAAGTATGACGTTGTTCAAATACACCTCCAGCAATTACAGCATTCATATATCGTTTTCTGTCTTTTTCCTTCACTGTATCAGTTTTGGTTGAAACAAGGAAAAATCCCACCGAGTGTCTGGTTTGGCTTCACGTGAACTAGTTTTTATTCGTTGTTGACGTAATGGTCAACCTCGGACTCAAACGCCATGACAGAGAGTTACAAGGACTTGCAAATAGAAAGGTCAAGGTAAATCCCCGGTGAGGCGAGGCCTAAATGAACAAGTGGGTGAGGTGGGTGAGGTGGATGAACCCCGCACTGTGTTGCAGTCAAATGACTTCAGATGGTCAAGTACTACCTTGACGAAGCCCACGAGAATAAGTATGGTTCCAAATGACCAAGGACCATGCTCCGTGCGATTCTGGGTTTCGAGCATGTATAGAAGTAAACCCGATCCCGTTAGTCGCCTCTTGCGACAAGCATAGTCGCCTGTTACGGCAAGCATGGGTTGCTGAAGACCTGTTCTACCGCGTATCTTCACGGGGCGGTTAAGTAATGTGAATCATGTTTCTCTCTTCGAGTGACAGGGTGAAGGAGATATTTTCACGAGTGGAGAGATGGGGAACATGATATTTCACGTGGAATATCCGATTTATGATATACATTTGGTGCAGTCGTCTGTTGAAAATTTAATTTTTATCATTACAACTGTGAAACCTTGAAACGTAAATTCTCCCTACCTAACACGCAGGGACGTTTCACCACCCCTTGTAATTTGGATATGATTATATACTAAATCAACTTCAAAAAGATATTCTTGAAAGCTACGAGACCGCTGTTGGAAGCGAAGGAATACACGCTGATCACTGAACAATGGCGCTTTGCGAAACCAGTCCCGATTGACGAGTTCAATGAGAAATTTACAGTTTAAAACGAAACATTTTTAAGAGAATAGCAAACGGCAGGAAACGATATTAACTCCACAAATGACCGTCTGTCATCATCTTGCCTTTCCTATGTGGAACTAACGTCAACAGTTTGTGTACTGACCAGACACGTACGATAAAGGGAGACAACTTGCGGGGAGGTAACTCTTGCATGACAATAGTTCCGTCAAAGTGTTAGGTTCACTGCTTTGAAATATCCAGTGTTATGATAACTGCAATGAAAATATCACTTTTCTGTACTTCAGAAAACTCTGTCTTTCACACTGAAGTTTATGCACTCACTTGGTATGGTGATAAATCATACATGGAGATGAAGCAGTGCACTGAAGATCACTGACAGATGCTGACCTGCCTCATCTTTTCTTTTCCCAGTATGTCACGCGGAAGAGCGCGCCATTGCGTCTTGTCCTGGGGATTTAAGAGGCTGTTCCATCTACGTGACACTCCACCCATGTAATGGTTGTGCAAGGTTAATTGTTCTGTCAGGAATCAAGGAGGTCATATTCCTGGAAGATCGCAATAATATACGCTATCAAGCTTCACGAATCATTCTAAAAAATTCTGGAGTTGCATTAAAGTAAGTGAAAAACTGTTTATTTGATGCCATTCCTTACCTAGTGAAAACCGTGCGCTTATACGCATTGTGAAATGTAGCTCAGAAGAATGCTTGTTTTAAATTTATTAAACATTATTACTATTGTTATTATTATATACAGATTTAAATAAACGCAGCAAAGAGGATTTAGTTGATCCTGGCACAGTCAGGCTGGTAAGGCTCATCATCAGCTCAGGGCCCTTGCCCCCTCTACACGCAGCCTAGACAGCGAACGGGACTTCTCCCAGAAAGCGCTGCCACGTCAAACCCATCAAGAACTTTTCGGAAAAAGGGGAAGACTCCCCAACACTGCAGCCTTCTGCATTACCCAGATTGTCAGAAGGGCTGTATTCCTGGCAGCAAACCCGGGTACTCTCCCAATGTCAGTCAACAGATTGGGAGGTACCAAACCTAAGGCACCGAGAACAATGGGGAATCGGACAACTTGTTACTTGGGATGCAAGTGTGACATTTCGAAAGCGAGGTCTGCATATTTGCCATGTTTTTCCTCATTATTATTATTATTATTATCATTGTTATGATGATGATGATGATGATGATGATTATTATTATTATCTGTTTCAGACAGTACGCCACAACGGGGAGGACTCTCGTCTGTAAATTATGATGCGACGACTCAGACAAGCACAGTTGCTTGTACAAACAACATCGACAACGCCGGAAAAGAGAAATATGCAGCCAGTTAAAACTAGTTCCCGCACCTGGCAGCTTTGCCTTCTATCTATATACTGTAGTAAGTTTAATACTCGAATTGGTGATATATTTCAGTAACTGCCACAAACCATGATTCCTCAGGACCAGTATGAAAAGAACGAGTGAATGAGTGAGTTGGATTTTAAGCCACTAAGGACAGATTTTCAGTTATATCCCAGCATTTCATTTTAATGTGGGAGGAAACTCCAAAATGGCACGGGTCTTGGACGTTTACCATTTTCGTAAATCCCTCGAATATGGTGTGGTGCTGACAAATATAATCAAGCCGAGCTGAAACGCCTTGAGAAGCAGGAAAGGACTTTAGATTGATTGATGACCAATCTCATTAAAATCAGATCTTAGTTCTCGCTACCGCGTTTAGCGATAGCGAGAACTAAGATCTGATTTTAATGAGATTGATTGATGGCACGTATCCAAACAACCCAGTCCTGCATAATAGTTCTTAATAACCAGTTTCTCCGCATGGAGATACTTCCACGGTGTCCAATATCTGTGCAGACCTTTTGTCTCTACTCTCAGGAATATGTACTTCAGTTAGACAAGCGTTGCACAATCATGATACCGCTTCTTCCGACCCGTGAAGATCCGGGGTAGAATAGGTCTTCAGCAACCCATGCTTGCCGTAAAAGGCGACTATGCTTGTCGTAAGAGGCGACTACCGAGATGGGTGGTCAGGCTCGCTGACTTGGTTGATGCATGTCATCGTATCCCTATTGCGTGGATCGACGCTGTTGGTGTCAATCACTGGGTTGACTGGTCCAGACTCGACTATTGACAGACCGCCGTCATATAGCTGGAATATTACTGAGCGCGGCGTTAAACAACAAACAAACACACATGATACAATCCACGACTGTGGCTTTGAACTCCTTCAGTGCTCTCCCAGTTCTCCTGTTCTTCTGGCTTCGTCAGGCTTCCATCTGTTCCTAAACATACAGAAAGTTCTAGCCAGAGCCCATAAACTTGAACACTGACGTCATATTGAGCGCTGCTTTTGAGAACTCTGTGGACAGAGCACTTCGATGAGGAGCACACAAGGTACATGATCTAGACTACCAGTTGTAGGACTTTGATTTTGTGGAAGCCTCGGTGGCTGAGTGGGTGAGACCGCTGACTTTGTGTGCTGGCGAATAGGTGCCTCACTCTGGCAGTGTGGGTTCGAATCCCGGATGGGATTCAACCCAGAAAAGTACGAGAATCTGTACTCTACTGAGAAAGTGATATCCCAAATATAACATTGGTTACAGTTCGATGAAGCTGTGATAAAATCCCTCCAACATCGTTGCCGAAAGTGTACCAATGTGGAAAGGGGTCACGTGGAAAAATAACTCATTTGATATCTTTAGATTAAGTCTGTCGATATAGTGCTCAGAACTGTGACCGGAACCGTCATTTGTGGCCATCTCGTGTTTTTCCGGGACAAGCCGAAATCAGGTTACGGGTAGGGGCGGGTGGTGACGAATGCGTTACAGTTTGTTGGGAATCTTCTGCGATCCTTGCTGCGATTGTTGGATGGTCACGTGCTGTCCTCACACTGCTGGGCCGTGGGTTATGGTGTTGTCAGGAGTTGTGTCCCTTTGTGCATGCAGGCCATTTTATGAGTACACGGAACTCAAAAACATAGAAAGTAACACGTTAAGTGGAAAACTTAATGGACAAATTTTGTTAGAATGTGAAATTAAAGTTAATAGCCTGAGATGTCACCATGATAGATAAACACACAGTCGGGTACTTTCTGCTACGGTGTGATACTTTTTCTTGTGGGGTTGCATGATGTTGGTAAGTTTAGTTAAATGGGTGTTGGGCCATTTGGTTTTTTACAAACGGTATCTCTTTTATATGTTATTATTATATTGTTCACCGTTTATTTGAATAAACGTTCCGACAATGAATGAATTTCCTCTTTGTTTTGACACAATTGAAATTACATCGTGTTGACGTGTGAGTGAGTGAGTATGGGTTTACGCCGCTTTTAGCAATATTCCAGCAATATCACGGCGGGGGACACCAGAAAGGGGCTTCACACATTGTGTGCCTATGTGGTCTAGTGGTTAGAGCGTCTGTCCGGAGAGAGCAGGTCAGCGCTTCGATCCCCGATCGCGTCATACCAAAAGACGTTAAAAGATGGTACTTGTTACCCTGCCTGGCGCTAGACGATAACGGGATGAAACAAGGATTGGTCGACTCGGAGTCAGTATATTGTGTCTGAGTGCGGCATAGTGTCTCAATGGGCTAGCACTATATACAAGGGTGAGTATGGTTTTACGCCGCTTTTAGCAATATTCCAGCAATATCACAGCGGGGGACACCAGAAATGGGCTTCACACATTTAACCCAGGTGAGGAATCGAACCCGGGTCTTCGGCGTGACGAGCGAACGCTTTACCCATTAGGCTACCCCACCGCCCCGGCACTATGTAAGGTTAGGGCTGGACAACCGGACAAGCCGTGTTCCTGCAAATAAGAAAGGGGTATCATGCTGCACGATTATGTTGCACTTAACTTCCAGTGCCTCTAACTGAAATCCCAAACAGACTGGCTAGTTTGACACGCCATGAATAATCTGAACTTTGGTTTCCTAAGGCGTGCCAGATTTGACCTGATTATGTTTCAAGGTTTGTAAGCGCCATACCCGTGCTCGTGGGTTTCATCAAAATCGTAAATTTCTAAGATATGTCAACGGGCTTTAATTCCACATGTAGACATTTAGCGTTTCACGCCGTGATATAAATGAAATCAGTTTCCAAGTAGCGTTACACAAATCTCGATCAAGTACAAATAATTGCCGAAGCGCTATTTGGGAGATACGTTTTTCTCCTTTTATTCTTCACATTTTCCATTCATTTTTGCAGACAGGTATAAAGCGGTCATCCATATACAAATTCAAGTAGATATTTCACGTTCAGTCAGGCTGTGAAAGGAGACAGGTATTTGTACGTTATTGATCAATTGTGAGAGTTGGCATTTCTTCTCGAACGCTGCAAAGATGCATTTCTGACAATAGACATTTCCGTTTTGATCTATATATTATAATTATTATCAACGTGTCCAGATAACGTACAGTCAAGTCCCGTTAATCCGACATGGCTGGTTGCATATGATAATGTCGGATTAACGAGTATGTCGGATAAATGAAATCAAGTAGTACCAACGTTCGTCGGTCATAGTTCGCGAAAGGTTCTTCTGATGTGGCCTGTAATGGGATGTCCTCGGCGATAGCGAGAACTTGTATCTGATTTTAATGAGATGGAGGTAATCTAAGCATGTGATTAATCCAGTTTTCTTTATTTAAAGCATAATTGTTTATTGTTAAGCATCATTCCCATCATTAGTGTCGGATAAAGCCGCTTGTCGGATTAACGAGACTTGACTGTATGTTGGTGTTTATACTTGATATGTAGACATACCTGTCAGCTGCCAGGAAACACGGCTCGTGAACTCATAGCCAGTGTCAAATCTCAACAGTATTACAAAGTCAGAAAGGACAAGTCAATATCAGGGGGTAGGCTACGAAGTTCATTCCAGCCAACACAGAGGTATTCTTTTCTTGTGGTATAATTCACTAAAAAAGCATATACTTGTAATATTTTCATCTTCTGTAACTCATTTTGATATATTATTCTGTGTATCCAGTAGCATTGTGTCCTTAATACAGGTTCTGCAATTGGAGAATATATTATTCCAAGGTCACAGTTATTCCACATTAGTCGTATTGTCCCAGTTATTGCAAACTACAGGAATTGTATCAGATTGCATAATTTTATTATAAAATACATGACACCCATTTTAAGGTTAAATCAACTTCATTACCACATTGTATATTCCTATAGTCTGATAAACAGAAATGGCATTGTTTACAGTGTCTTTCCGTGTTTTGAGAATGTTCTTGATAATTTCTCATAATCTTGAAGTGTCCTTAACATTAAGCATGTTCTTATATCCATAGGACAATATCCCTCTCGAATTGCGAGTGAATATTCTTAATACTATCTTATAATCTTGAAAAGAGTCCTTAACAATAAACATATTCTTACATTCATAGGATAATATCCCTCTCGAATTGCTGTTTTTATTATTATTGTGTGAACTCTTTTATTGAACAAGTGCGGAGTGATACAATAAGCATATACAGTGATGATTTAACCAGAGTGGTTCAAGTAATATGTTTTATAAACCTGATTGATCGGTTTTAAAATAAGTTTTATATATTTCCCAAGAAGCAAGAGCATATCTTTGTACAAAACGTTTTAATAAAAAGTGATGCATTTGTCAATATGAGCCCCTATGAAAGTTCTGAAATTGTTATATTACTTGGAGTATTAAATTTATTAAAAAAACATTTACAAAATATCGTTGAACTTTTCATTTGAACATGCCTTTACACGTACCTTTCTAGATCCTCCTTTATTTTCAGATGCATTCTCTTAATCTTGTCAGGCTAAAGCAGCTCTCACACTTTGCCGAGGTGGTTGCCGAGCTCTCCCGAGCTCTCCCGAGCCTAACTCGGTTAGGACTCGGGAAGAGACTACACATACGAGTATCATACGAGTACGCTACGAGTGTGTTACGAGCCCCATAGGAGTCCAGTATGAGTCTTAAAGGAGTCTATTAAGAGTTGCATACGAGCACAACGATCTCGATACGAGCTGTACGAGTTTGGTACGAGGTGGCTACGAGCTGCTAAATAATTCGGCAGGAATTACACTCGTACAGCTCGTATTAGACTCGGTCAACTCGGCAATAAATTTTGCATACGAAATCTGTACGAGCACCGCGAGGCCGCCACGAGGGTAGGACGAGTGTGTTTACGAGTCTACTAGGAGTTGGCTGGCGGTCCGACTGTTTTGAGCAGTTCCAAAACTCTCGTAGATCAGTACGAGGTATCCCAAGTTACCCCGAGTTTAGTACGACCTCTCTACGAGCGCCATACGAGTACCCAGTCAGCTCGGGTCCATACTCGGGACGCAACTCGGCAAAGTGTGAGAGCGGAAGGTCCGGAGTTCGATCCCCGGCTGCGTCATACCAAAAGACGTTAAAATATGGTACTAAAGGGGCTAAAACAAGGACTGGTCGGCTCGGAGTCAGTATACTGTGTCTGAGTGGGGTATTCATGTTAAACTGCGGCATGGTATCTCAGTGAGCTAGCACTATATATCGGCATCAGTCCGGACTAGTACAAGCAGCAACACAAACACACGCACGTACATGCGCGTCGCTATATAAGTGCAATAATCTTGGACGCGACGTTGAACCCCATTTCACCTCGCCTCACCTTCCCGGAGGTGAAGTTCAAAAATATTTTGTCTAGCTCATCACAATGAGGCAGGTCGAACAAATATGTACTAAAGTTGATAGTGCTAGAGGTGAAATTAACTGATTAAATTTTGTTTGTGTTCTGAACAGCTTTATCAAATATTATTGAAACTGTTACGAGTAGAATTGCCAACACCATTTCGTATATGGTCTTCGGGGGTCTGATTACAGAGCATTCTGTTGTTACGCAAATAAAATCGCAATTGGTATGAACATTCAACATTTGAAACAAACAATTGTGTGCATAAAAGGTCCTATATAAATTATATGTACATTTGATTTTTAAAATATATTTTTAGAAATTTAACTTTAAATCATACCCTTTTCTCAAAGCTTTTGATATTTAGTATTCGGGATTCCAGAGAGAGCAATGAGACACAGAGGGAAAAATAAGATGATATTCGGGATCCGGGGGAGGGTTGAGTTGGTATCTTCACGAATCAGACTTGGAGTCTGAGAAATCTCAAATTCAGAATCAGAGGTAACATCGCAGTGTAAAATCATCAAAAAACGTTTCGATTCTCTAGCTTGAGTTCCATCGTTCAGAGTCTATGTCTGAGTATAACCCGTTTCCTTGAGATTTACATTTACATGGGACATGTCGCACGTGCATGACACAGTGAGATCACGTGTCTGTCCAGGAGAGCTGTTTCCCATCGTGAACGCCACTTGCCAGTTTTAACTCTCCCGTTGTACTTGCTAAACTTGATAGATAGTAGATTCGATGCGGTTGTCCCGGTAATTATAGACACTGACCCGTTACTTGTTAAACTTGAAAGTAGATGCGATGTGATTGTCGGGTTAGACACTCAGAAACAACGACTTTCCTTCTAATGCATATCGCAACTACTATCTTCTGGCGTTGCATTCAACTGAACTCATCAATCATCGTGACACAAAGAGTTATGTCCCTTCGTTGTTACTTCATGATCTCGAGTATGACGATTGAAAAATACACTTTGACCCTGCACTAGAATCGAGACCGCAGGGGGTTATTCCGATCATATCTTATCCTAAAACCATCACATTACACAATTTAATAAAGGCAGTTGTCCAGGTGTGCACAGGCATTTTAGTGCATACCTTTCAGGTGATAAATCGAGGTCAATGTGAGGGAGTGCTCATTTAGAATTGTCACATAGTTAGTAATCATATGTTTCAGTCACTCTGCATAACTCCTTTATGCTTGTTTGTCGATTTGATTTTAGTAACGTTATATGTCCAAATACTTTAACCGAGCTTCCAATTACGATTGTTTAAGAGTTTGTACAAATATTAATTACCGATGCGGTTCCTATCAATGAATGGTCCCATTTTACAGGTAACCGGAAACGCCGCCATTTCAGGTGAGAGACTGTTTCGAAAATGACTCTACTCCGAAGATTTTTGTGTTGGGATCTTCGAACAGCGACTGTAATCGGGTACATTACTACCACGGTAAGTGACGACCGTTTAGTTAAGACCATAGCTTGATTAGTTATGTTACCTGTGTGTACAGGTGAGGCATTTTGAAGTAGCCCTGAATCAGTCGATCCCTTCTCCGCGTTTCCTGGTTTAGACATTTTAGAAATAAACAAACCTGGGGTCATTTCGCGGAAAGACTTCCGCCCGTATCCACCCTCCAAAAGTTATGTACGTAAGTATTGCCGCTCAACCCTTTTAATCATATATATTTTTGAGTGTGGATACAGGCGGAAGTCTTACCCATTTCGCTCGGCAAGCTGGGCACTCGATCATCGATGCAGTTGTGGAGACAACAGGAACTTGTTATTTGTCAGTAAGTATAGATATATACCCCCTAAATATGTAAATAGAGACTTACATATAGAGGGTATATATTTTTATTTACTGACCGATAACAAGTTCGTATGGTGGAAACCCATTGAATGATGATGTTTTGGGTTTCACAAAGATCCAGGCCTACTGCTTGAAATGCATCAACAATATAAATTTCTGGGAATTCATTTATCTTGTGTTTTCATGGCTTTTGCACCAGTTTACTCCATGTATGAGAAATAACACAGAGCTTCAGATAAGCAGCGTATTTGCGAAAAATACCCGTAGAAAATATGAAAAAAACCGAATTACTTTCAATTAACTTGCGTACAGAAATGTAGCTTTAAATGAAAAACTCAAATGTATAAAAATAGCACACGTAAATACCTAATGAAGCCTTCTCAGCGTACAAAGGAGTTAATTTCTTAAACACAATTACGAGCTAATTTTCTTTCCGAGTCAAGCCTATATATTTAGAATAGTTATCATGGTTATCTGGTTATATACAGTCAAGTCTCGTTAATCCGACACTTGTTAATCCGACAATCGGCTTTATCCGGCACTAATGATGGGAACCGAACAACCTTTCATGAACTACGACTGACCAATGAAATAACTAACAGGAAGTTAATGTTAGTCACTTAGAAAGCAGCTTTCTTAGCTTTGCGGTACCAGTTTCAAACTTGTGACTTCCATTCCAGACTATGCTTTTAAAAGTATTTTGAATAAGTCATACAGTCCGTAACAGTTGTTTTGTGTTGAGCTTTAGAAGTTGCATGATTAGAAAACATTTTCTGTTGACAATGTAACATAACCATTTGAATATTTCATTTATATATTTTTATTACGTGTTTGTATCATTATCTGTCGTGTAGTTGTCCGATTTTCCATCACGCACGTTGATACTACTTAATTTCGTTTATCCGACATACTCATTAATCCAACATAATCATATGTAACCAACAATGTCGGATTAGTGGGACTTGACTGTACATCTAAAACATTATTTCATTTTTTTAAGTCTTAAAATGTTCACTAATTTTGGGGGAAAACCCAATAGAGTGATGAATAGATGAGTGAAAAAAGATTGGCTACCCAATGAAAAATGTAATAGCCCAATTTAAATAGAAACCATAGAGTAAAAACTTAAATGGTCAAAAAGTTGTCAGAAGGTCTGTGACACTACTGGGGTCATTGTTGGCACAGGTACAATAATGCCTCCCATGTACTTTTCTCTGTAGTGGAAAAGTATGTACTTAATTATACTTAATAGCTATAACCAAAATCGGATTACAGAAATGTCTCCGAGAGTGTCGCTGAAGTTGCTTCTAGGCTATAAGGTAAACAAAACACTTCCTTGTACACCATGAGTTTAGGTGACCGCCAGTATGAAATTGGTTTTGTGCATTGTGAAAATAGACCTAAATCTATTGCCGAGACAGGGTACCTTTGTTGGTCGCCATTGTGAACCTTTGGTTGTTGTTCTGCACGGTTTGTCCATCCGCGGACTTGTATATATGGTTATATAGGTCCGTGGACTGTCTCTTTGCAACAATAATTTTGCAAATTATGTTGTGGGTTATAAAACTGCTAGATGGCTTGAGGCACTAAATCTACACTCTACTTTGAACACTGGTAATATACAGAATTACCTAGTTGAACTATGGACCATCTGTCTTGCTTGAAATAGTGTTGAAAGTGGCTCAGATAAGCTGTAATTCCAAGCCGCCTGTCAGTGATTTGTAGTTTCTGTTCCATCAGCAATGATCAGTTGTGTTTGTTTCATGTTTGCAGGTCACAGCCATATTTGCCTTGCTGATGAGGGCTTTGGATGTCTCCGCCATCGCAAATTATGATTTCGAGATCAGCCAGGGTTTCCACACAGCATGGAGATCTCATCAGTGGCAGGGTAAGTGATGGTTCTACCATGGACATGGTGGAAGTGTGTGACTCGATGTACAGATTTACATGGCTGTGTGTACCTGTCAGTGTGACTCGATGTACTGATTGACATGGCTGTGTTTACCTGTCAGTGTGTGACTCGATGTACTGATTGACATGGCTGTGTTTACCTGTCAGTGTGTGACTCGATGTACTGATTGACATGGCTGTGTTTACCTGTCAGTGTGTGACTCGATTACAGATTTACATGGCTGTGTTTACCTGTCAGTGTGTGACTCGATGTACAGATTTACATGGCTGTGTTTACCTGTCAGTGTGTGACTCGATTACAGATTTACATGGCTGTGTTTACCTGTCAGTGTGTGACTCGATGTACAGATTTACATGGCTGTGTTTACCTGTCAGTGTGTGACTCGATTACAGATTTACATGGCTGTGTGTACCTGTCAGTGTGTGACTCGATGTACAGATTTACATGGCTGTGTGTACCTGTCAGTGTGTGACTCGATGTACAGATTTACATGGCTGTGTTTACCCGTCAGTGTGTGACTCGATGTACAGATTTACATGGCTGTGTTTACCTGTCAGTGTGTGACTCGATTACAGATTTACATGGCTGTGTGTACCTGTCAGTGTGTGACTCGATGTACAGATTTACATGGCTGTGTGTACCTGTCAGTGTGTGACTCGATGTACAGATTTACATGGCTGTGTTTACCCGTCAGTGTGTGACTCGATGTACAGATTTACATGGCTGTGTGTACCTGTCAGTGTGTGACTCGATTACAGATTTACATGGCTGTGTGTACCTGTCAGTGTGTGACTCGATGTACAGATTTACATGGCTGTGTTTACCTGTCAGTGTGTGACTCGATGTACAGATTTACATGGCTGTGTTTACCTGTCAGTGTGTGACTCGATGTACAGATTTACATGCCTGTGTTTACCTGTCAGTGTGTGACTCGATGTACAGATTTACATGGCTGTGTTTACCCGTCAGTGTGTGACTCGATGTACAGATTTACATGGCTGTGTGTACCTGTCAGTGTGTGACTCGATGTACAGATTTACATGGCTGTGTTTACCTGTCAGTGTGTGACTCGATGTACAGATTTACATGGCTGTGTTTACCTGTCAGTGTGTGACTCGATGTACAGATTTACATGGCTGTGTTTACCTGTCAGTGTGTGACTCGATGTACAGATTTACATGCCTGTGTTTACCTGTCAGTGTGTGACTCGATGTACAGATTTACATGGCTGTGTTTACCTGTCAGCGTGTGAGAGGCAACTAACAGGATCGGGTGACTCGCTGACTTGCTTGATGTATGTCATCGTATCCCAATTCCTTGGATCAAGGATCATGATGTCAGTCACTGGATTGTCTGGTCCAGACTTGATTATTTACAGACCGCCGTCATGGCTGGAATATTGCTGAGTGCGGCGTTAAACAACAAACAAACAAACAAACAGTGTGTGACTCCATCTGCCTCCTGTTGCAGCCTTCCTGGCCAGTGACGTTATCCTGCTTGTCTTCCACGTCGGCATCATCATCTTCTCAGTGTACATGTCCGTGATGGTCTCAAACCGGGTGAGTAGACAACAGTGTCCAGTCACTCTCGTTACGATCAGATCTACCCCCCTGCATGGCGATCATCTGGTTTATGTTCCAGAGCAACCCATGCTTGCTGGAGGCGACTAATGATCCTCTGCTTCATCATACTAAAATATGCTTAAAGATGGTACTTGTTACCCTGCCTGGATCTTGACCTCACAGGAAAAAATAGAGATTGCTTGTCTTGGAGAATAATTATGTCTCAGTGGAGTATCCATGTTAAAGTGAGGCATGGTATCTAAGTGGGCTAGCACCAAATTAGTCAGGACCAGTACACGCACGCATGGTGTGTGTGGAGTGAGTGAGTTTTGTTTTGCATCGCTTTTAGCAATATTCCAGCAATATCATGGCGGGGGACACCTGAAATGGGCTTCACACATTGTACCCATGTCGGGAATCGAACCCGGGTCTTCGGCGTGCTGAGCGAACACTTTAACCACAAGCTACCCAACTGCCCCTGTATGTGTGGAACATTGCTAAAAGCAGAATGAAACCCAAGTCACTCCCCGATTCACTGACACAGCAACAAGTCTAAGTGTCTGATGCTGAACAGTGGAGGGTGTTATGAGAACGTGATACGGGGACCGCAAGACTCGTACAAATGACTGTCTGAGATAGATCATTTGTACAAGTGACTTCCAGTCAATGGCCCAAAGAACTTTACAACTCTCACAAAAATGTGGTCACATTGGAGCTGTGTGATGGGGTTGCCCTCAAAGCTAGTTGAAACAACGTCTTCTTCAGCAAGACCTCACACAGCTCATTCTCTCTGTCAAGAACAAGCAGTTGATGCATTAAGCATGTTAAGGAGTAATGCTGGATAAGTATTCAAATATAAAAAATATCTAGGATTTTACTACTTATGTCAAACAAATACACCAATGCAGCTCTCTAAGTTCGTTATTTTTTGTTAGGGAGCCAAGCGGCTCCAAACATGAATATTTTAGGAGCCAAACCTCGATTTTTGGAGCAAACAGGTTATGTTGTCTTTTAGGTAGCCAAGGGGCAAGCAGTAGATAAATTTAGGTCGCCAATCATAGACTTAAGTCCCATTTGGTCACAAAAAGGTGGCTACTTAGAGGGCTGCAATACTACTAGGGCATTAACAATTGTATTTGGTTGTTTTACAGCACTTTGTGATGTACATGAGGGAGACTAGATGGTACCTGTACTTCATCATCTCATATGTCTTCATCGAGTTCTGCTTCTCTCTCTTCGAGTTCTCCTACTATGGACTCAACACCTTCGTAAGTACACAGGCATTGAGGCAAGCGAGTGCCATGAGCCCCCACCCCCACCCCACCCCCTACAGGCATTGAGGCAAGGGTAATGACATGAGGGGGCATCCCCACCCCCTACAGGCATTGAGGCAAGGGTTGTGACATGAGGGGGCACCCCACCCCACCCCACCCCACCCCCTACAGTCATTGAGGCAAGGGTTGTGACATGAGGGGGCACCCCACCCCCTACAGTCATTGAGGCAAGGGTTGTGACATGAGGGGGCACCCCACCCCACCCCACCCCCTACAGGCATTGAGGCAAGGGTTTTGACATGAGCCCCCCCTACAGGCATTCCCTCCTACAGGCATCCCCCCCTACAGGCATCCCCCCTACAGACATTGAGGCAAGGGTTGTGACATGAGGGGGCACCCCACCCCCTACAGTCATTGAGGCAAGGGTTGTGACATGAGGGGGCACCCCACCCCACCCCACCCCACCCCCTACAGGCATTGAGGCAAGGGTTTTGACATGAGCCCCCCCCTACAGGCATTCCCTCCTACAGGCATCCCCCCCTACAGGCATCCCCCCTACAGACATTGAGGCAAGGGTTGTGACATGAGGGGGCACCCCACCCCCTACAGGCATTGAGGCAAGGGTTGTGACATGAGGGGGCACCCCACCCCCTACAGGCATTGAGGCAAGGGTTGTGACATGAGGGGGCACCCCACCCCCTACAGGCATTGAGGCAAGGGTAGTGACATGAGGGGGCACCCCACCCCCTACAGGCATTGAGGCAAGGGTAGTGACATGAGGGGGCACCCCAACCCCTACAGGCATTGAGGCAAGGGTTGTGACATGAGGAGGCACCCCCCCATCCCCCCTCTTCACTTTACTACTATGGTTAAGTTTTTCTGTATTTTTGTTTTCCTTTTTGTGAGGACAAGATATAATGAAAATACAATTCAGGTTATTTAGCTAATCTTGATGAAGATGTCCTGATATTTTCTTTGCCATGTTTGCAGCCTCAGTGTTGTGATAGAATATTAAAGTATGAAACTGATACAACTTGTTGTCCCTAATAAATCAGTTGTACTGACTTATATGACACAAATGACCTTATCCTCTGATAACGTGGCAGTGTTCATCAATGCAAATCATGTGTTCTTTTGTTTTTTTTATTTTTTGTAAAAAAAAATGTCTGGGAAGAAAAAAAATTATTGTGCATGTTTACTGCTCCATGTATTTGTGTGCATGTTGTTGGGGGTCAATGCTTAATTGTTGTATTCGGAAGACAGGGATTTATCTGGACCTGCTCAGAGGCCGATATTCAGTCCCAAGTGTGCAGCAAATCAAATATTCTCAGTTATAACTAATAATATCCCAATCCCTCAGGATTTCCAAAAATTAGCACATTATTTTTTAACAATATCAGTTTTTTCTCCCCATTTTGCCTGCCATGGGCACTTAGTATGCATTCCTGGGATTAACCCAGATAGGAATTAAAAATAGTGCTTTCAACATGTTTGAGATTATTATTTCACTTTTGTTTTTCTTAGGGTTATTGTTACCTCTTTTGAAGACGTTGAAGACTTACTTAAGTTTATTAATAAATTCCTCAGACAAGAATAAACATCGCCCAAATTGGTTGTAGTCAGATTGGAAAAGTTCTTTCTTAACCACAAGATCTACTTAATTTCAATTTTAGAGAATAATTTAAAATTATGTCTTCAGTATCTTCATAAGAGGCCATATGACCGTGGCGGGCATTTCAAATGTTTAAAATTGCATGTTTTTGACAAATCCAGTGGCATGGTTGAAGAGTTTATTGCCTGTTATTTGACAAATCCAGTGGCATGGTTGAAGAGTTTATTGCCTGTTTTTGACAAATCCAGTGGCATGGTTGAAGAGTTTATTGCCTGTTATTTGACAAATCTAGTGGCATGGTTGAAGAGTTTATTGCCTGTTATTTGACAAATCCAGTGGCATGGTTGAAGAGTTTATTGCCTGTTATTTGACAAATCCAGTGGCATGGTTGAAGAGTTTATTGCCTGTTATTTGACAAATCCAGTGGCATGGTAGAAGAGTTTATTGCCTGTTATTTGACAAATCCAGTGGCATGGTTGAAGAGTTTATTGCCTGTTATACCAACTCTTCTCTGTTTACTCACCTTGATTTTCACTCACTTAATGAATTATTAAACGTCACACAATGAATGAGGCTAGTCATTACCCATGACAATTGTGTTGAAACAACAGAATGGAAATAGACTGGATATCACCAACATATGAGACAATACAAACATGCATTATTCAAATTGAAAACTTGCCACATAATTTATTGCAGTGGCCTCCTGGGAAGGTAGTGAGGGAGAAGAAGCCTGTTTTGGGTTCTGTTATGTGATTGAAGTGAAGAAGGAAACGCAGCGTTAGGATAAATCGACTAATATGAATATCCAAATTGATGGACTCTGTGAAGTTTGTGATGTACTTACACTGCTGATCAGTATTCAATTTTTGTTACAGAGACTTTCCTTTGTGGTGTTCTTGTGGCTGTACTGGCTTGTGAAGACCTGCATCTACGTACGTACAGCACCCTACTGCCCCCTACTTCATGGCTGACACCAGGTGTCAATAGTGGGGTGTACTGGCACTAACAGTGTCAATAGTGGGGTGTACTAGCACTAACAGTGTCAATAGTGGGGTGTACTAGGACTAACAGGTGTCAATGGTGGGGTGTACTAGGACTAACAGGTGTCAATAGTGGGGTGTACTAGCACTAACAGTGTCAATAGTGGGGTGTACTAGCACTAACAGTGTCAATAGTGGGGTGTACTAGGACTAACAGTGTCAATAGTGGGGTGTACTGGCACTAACAGTGTCAATAGTGGGGTGTACTAGCACTAACAGTGTCAATAGTGGGGTGTACTAGGACTAACAGGTGTCAATGGTGGGGTGTACTAGGACTAACAGGTGTCAATAGTGGGGTGTACTAGCACTAACAGTGTCAATAGTGGGGTGTACTAGCACTAACAGTGTCAATAGTGGGGTGTACTAGGACTAACAGTGTCAATAGTGGGGTGTACTAGGACTAACAGGTGTCAATGGTGGGGTGTACTAGGACTAACAGGTGTCAATAGTGGGGTGTACTAGGAGTAACAGTGTCAATAGTGGGGTGTACTAGGACTAACAGGTGTCAATAGTGGGGTGTACTAGCACTAACAGTGTCAATAGTGGGGTGTACTAGGACTAACAGTGTCAATAGTGGGGTGTACTAGGACTAACAGGTGTCAATGGTGGGGTGTACTAGGACTAACAGGTGTCAATAGTGGGGTGTACTAGGAGTAACAGTGTCAATAGTGGGGTGTACTAGGACTAACAGGTGTCAATAGTGGGGTGTACTAGCACTAACAGTGTCAATAGTGGGGTGTACTAGGACTAACAGGTGTCAATAGTGGGGTGTACTAGGACTAACAGGTGTCAATGGTGGGATCTACTAGCACTAACAGTGTCAATGGTGGGGTGTACTAGGAGTAACAGTGTCAATGGTGGGGTGTACTAGCACTAACAGTGTCAATAGTGGGGTGTACTAGCACTAACAGTGTCAATGGTGGGATCTACTAGCACTAACAGTGTCAATAGTGGGGTGTACTAGGACAAACAGGTGTCAATGGTGGGGTGTACTAGGACTAACAGGTGTCAATGGTGGGGTGTACTAGGACTAACAGTGTCAATGATGGGGTGTACTAGGACTAACAGGTGTCAATAGTGGGGTGTACTAGCACTAACAGTGTCAATAGTGGGGTGTACTAGCACTAACAGTGTCAATGGTGGGGTGTACTAGGACTAACAGGTGTCAATAGTGGGGTGTACTAGGACTAACAGGTGTCAATGGTGGGATCTACTAGGACTAACAGGTGTCAATAGTGGGGTGTACTAGCACTAACAGTGTCAATGGTGGGGTGTACTAGGACTAACAGGTGTCAATAGTGGGGTGTACTAGGACTAACAGGTGTCAATAGTGGGGTGTACTAGGACTAACAGGTGTCAATGGTGGGATCTACTAGGAGTAACAGTGTCAATGGTGGGATCTACTAGGACTAACAGTGTCAATAGTGGGGTGTACTAGGACTTACAGGTGTCAATGGTGGGGTGTACTAGGACTAACAGTGTCAATAGTGGGGTGTACTAGGACTAACAGTGTCAATAGTGGGGTGTACTAGGACTTACAGGTGTCAATGGTGGGGTGTACTAGGACTAACAGGTGTCAATAGTGGGGTGTACTAGGACTAACAGTGTCAATGGTGGGATCTACTAGCACTAACAGTGTCAATGGTGGGATCTACTAGCACTAACAGGTGTCAATGGTGGGGTGTACTAGGACTAACAGGTGTCAATAGTGGGGTGTACTAGGACTAACAGGTGTCAATAGTGGGGTGTACTAGCACTAACAGTGTCAATAGTGGGGTGTACTAGCACTAACAGTGTCAATGGTGGGGTGTACTAGGACTAACAGGTGTCAATAGTGGGGTGTACTAGGACTAACAGGTGTCAATAGTGGGGTGTACTAGGACTAACAGGTGTCAATGGTGGGATCTACTAGGACTAACAGGTGTCAATAGTGGGGTGTACTAGGACTAACAGGTGTCAATGGTGGGATCTACTAGGACTAACAGGTGTCAATAGTGGGGTGTACTAGCACTAACAGTGTCAATGGTGGGGTGTACTAGGACTAACAGGTGTCAATAGTGGGGTGTACTAGGACTAACAGGTGTCAATAGTGGGGTGTACTAGGACTAACAGGTGTCAATGGTGGGATCTACTAGGAGTAACAGTGTCAATGGTGGGATCTACTAGGACTAACAGGTGTCAATAGTTGGGTGTACTAGCACTAACAGTGTCAATGGTGGGGTGTACTAGGACTAACAGGTGTCAATGGTGGGATCTACTAGGACTAACAGTGTCAATAGTGGGGTGTACTAGGACTAACAGTGTCAATGGTGGGGTGTACTAGCACTAACAGTGTCAATAGTGGGGTGTACTAGCACTAACAGTGTCAATAGTGGGGTGTACTAGCACTAACAGGTGTCAATAGTGGGGTGTACTAGGACTAACAGTGTCAATGGTGGGGTGTACTAGGAGTAACAGGTGTCAATAGTGGGGTGTACTAGGACTAACAGGTGTCAATGGTGGGATCTACTAGGACTAACAGGTGTCAATAGTGGGGTGTACTAGCACTAACAGTGTCAATGGTGGGGTGTACTAGGACTAACAGGTGTCAATGGTGGGATCTACTAGGACTAACAGGTGTCAATAGTGGGGTGTACTAGCACTAACAGTGTCAATGGTGGGGTGTACTAGGACTAACAGGTGTCAATAGTGGGGTGTACTAGCACTAACAGTGTCAATGGTGGGGTGTACTAGCACTAACAGTGTCAATGGTGGGGTGTACTAGCACTAACAGTGTCAATGGTGGGGTGTACTAGGACTAACAGGTGTCAATAGTGGGGTGTACTAGCACTAACAGTGTCAATGGTGGGGTGTACTAGGACTAACAGGTGTCAATAGTGGGGTGTACTAGGACTAACAGTGTCAATGGTGGGGTGTACTAGGACTAACAGGTGTCAATGGTGGGATCTACTAGGACTAACAGTGTCAATGGTGGGATCTACTAGGACTAACAGGTGTCAATAGTGGGATCTACTAGGACTAACAGTGTCAATAGTGGGGTGTACTAGCAGTAACAGTGTCAATAGTGGGATTTACTAGGACTAACAGTGTCAATGGTGGGATCTACTAGGACTAACAGGTGTCAATAGTGGGGTGTACTAGCACTAACAGTGTCAATGGTGGGATCTACTAGCACTAACAGTGTCAATAGTGGGGTGTACTAGGACTAACTGGTGTCAATAGTGGGGTGTACTAGGACTAACAGTGTCAATGGTGGGGTGTACTAGGACTAACAGGTGTCAATGGTGGGGTGTACTAGGACTAACAGTGTCAATGGTGGGGTGTACTAGCACTAACAGTGTCAATAGTGGGGTGTACTGGCACTAACAGTGTCAATAGTGGGGTGTACTAGCACTAACAGTGTCAATAGTGGGGTGTACTAGGACTAACAGTGTCAATGGTGGGATCTACTAGGACTAACAGGTGTCAATAGTGGGATCTACTAGGACTAACAGTGTCAATAGTGGGGTGTACTAGCAGTAACAGTGTCAATAGTGGGATCTACTAGGACTAACAGTGTCAATGGTGGGATCTACTAGGACTAACAGGTGTCAATAGTGGGGTGTACTAGCACTAACAGTGTCAATGGTGGGATCTACTAGCACTAACAGTGTCAATAGTGGGGTGTACTAGGACTAACAGGTGTCAATAGTGGGGTGTACTAGGACTAACAGTGTCAATGGTGGGGTGTACTAGGACTAACAGGTGTCAATGGTGGGGTGTACTAGGACTAACAGTGTCAATGGTGGGGTGTACTAGCACTAACAGTGTCAATAGTGGGGTGTACTAGGACTAACAGTGTCAATAGTGGGGTGTACTAGGACTAACAGCGTCAGTAGTTAGTTATAGGTGTCAATGGTGTGTGCTATGAGTTACAGGTGTCAATTACAGTACTACTGAGAGTGTTATACCTCTTGCTATACTATTGGGATACTGGACCAATGTGATGTGTATTGCAATAGTATCTCGGTTATGGTTTTCACTATTCTTCTACTATATAGCAATAGTGAAACTGCGACCATCTTTGCGAGTACTGTAATAGAGGTGGGATAATCTTCAAGTAAGGGGAAAGGGTTGCCAAATGTTTAAAGATGCCACAACTAAGTGTGCAGAGTTGTGTCCCCTTCTTCCCAGCATCCCTGGTTTGTGTTCAGCCCCAGGTTTGTGCTCAATCAGTGTCCATAGGTTGCTTCTTAAATGGTATGAGTGGTAAATTTCTGATCCTTCAAGTTTCAGAAGGAATTTGATAGATTTGTTTACTTTCAGATATGTTTCTCATGTGTGCTGTACTCGAGATATGAGCAGATGGCAGATGAAATGGCGATGGAGCTTCGGTTCTCTGAGAAGAAGTACAGTCACTCCTACGCATAGACACCTAGTGTCTCGGTGACCCTGGGACATTATTACAAGGAAATTGTTTCATGATCAGCAAGTTCCACTTATTGATATCTTGCCATTCTGTCTTTTGGACTCTGCCAGAGAGTGAAGAACATAAGTAAACTTTGGGCTATGTTGAAAATGTATTATTGGGCATGTGATATTAATATTGAAGGTGTTAAAATTACATTCATTTCCTTGCCTTTTTCTTGACCTAAAGAATAGAAGAGTAATATTTGGGACATTCTGTGAAATTATCAGCGATTGTTATTTTTTTCAGCAAATAAGATACATTCTGGTTGGGTCTATGTTTAAGGGGAACTAATGTGATGAAGGTTTAATATACAAACATCATCTAGAACATGTAGAAAGATCTGAGAAAATTGCTGAAATTTTTATTACAACTGACTTTAGTGAGCAGCAAATAACATGATACATTCCTCTTCATTTTGAATATATGATTGCCAATATATTAAATACTGATACATAGGTTTAGTTTGAACTTGTACATAATTCATTACAGACTAGTTATCGTGGTTATCAGAGAATAAGTTTGCATTGTAAATTAAGATTTCTTCATTTGTTTGTACTCCCTTTAGTAAAGTCAAAGCTATTGTCATGTAAAGCTTGTCCAGAATAAGAACAAGTAATGTCACAGCATGTGTTTTTTTCAAAACACAATAACAGTGCCTTGAACAAATTTACGAAGTTATTTTTTGTTAAGCAGGTGAAACTGTTCAATTAAGTTCTACTCTATGGACAAAACTAACAACATCAAAAAGCCACCAGCCAAGCTATGATTGGTTATCGTGGTTAGTATTTAAATACATTTTGTTTTGTTTCACTGATGGAAGAAGGAAAATACGACAGTTAAATGTGGTTAATATTATCCATAGCTTATTGACTAAATGCATCTAAATGGCTGTGGCAATTATCCACTCTTGTGAGTACATGTTGATGCATGGGTTTTCTGTAAAAACAGTTGGATTAAGTTGGTTTCTTTTTATCAGTGACAGGAATAAGAAACTTATCTCTGAGAAGGACAGGTGGTGTGACAGTTAGGAGAGGGACAGGATGAAGTTGTACATAGTATTCATCACTGATTCATCCATGTTTCATATAACCTTTGTACATATGGCACTTTAGATGCAGGTTCTTTATAACCATTGTAAGAAAATTACACTTTATGTGTTTCAAACAGAAAACCAGATATTTTCATGATTTTCATTTGATTAATTTTGGTAAAATTACTAAATTGAATTGACACGGTAGTGCAAGTTTCATGTTGCTAAGTCTATATGTCAAGCATGCTTCTTTTGTATGATTATATTCCATTCATGGATCATGGATCATAATATTGTCAAGAATATTTTATACTTAAATAGAAATAAATGTTTTATAGAAAATGATTGGAACATTGTGTTTATGTCTTCATGGTCTGCAGTGTGAGGGGGTGTGGGGTAGCCAAGTGGTTAAAGCGTTTGTGAGTCACACTGAAGGCCTGGGTTTGATTTCCCACTTGGGTACAACGTGAAGCTCTTTTCTGGTATATCCTGCCGTGATGTTGCTGGAATATTGCTAAAAATCTATACTCACTCACTCACTGTGTGTGAGCTGTTCCCTGGTTAAGTGAACAAGGAGTAGGTATTCTAGTGGACTCGAGGGGCAAGTACAGGCCATGGGGTAGCCTAGTGGACTCTAGGGACATGTACAGGCCGTGGGGTGGTCTAATGGACTCTAGGGGCAAGTACAGGCCGTGGGGTAGTCTAATGGACTCTAGGGACAAGTACGGGCTATGGGGCGGTCTAATGGACTCTAGGGGCAAGTACAGGCCGTGGGGTAGTCTAATGGGCTCTAGGGGCAAGTAGATCATGAGCATCGATCCACCCAATTGGGATATGATGACAGGCATCAAACAAGTCAGCGAGCCTGACCGCTCGATCCTGTAAGTCGCCTTTCAAGACATGCATAGTCCCTGTAGGAGACGCCTGTAACAGGACCAGGTGGATCTGGTTGTCTTGTAGTGTGGCTTGTTCGATGTCTGACATCTGTTGAACAAGACCGGCTTGCACAATAATAGTTGAATGTCTGGCATCTGTTGAACAAGACCGGCTTTCACAATAATAGTTGAATGTCTGGCATCTGTTGAACAAGACCGGCTTGCACAATACCAGTTGAGTGTGTGGCAACTGTTGAACAAGACCGGCTTGCATAATAACGATTGAATGTCTGGTATCTGTTGAACAAGACCGGCTTGCATAATAACGATTGAATGTCTGGTATCTGTTGAACATGAAGTCATGTTCACACTGCATGTACATCTGTTCATCTGTTCAGATTATTGCGAGATAACAGAACAATTAGAAATAACAACAGTATAAAAGGATACATAATTGTTTTATTAAGGTTACGGTTTGTTAATCATGCATTGATGGTTATATAGACATATGCCTCAGAACATCAGTATTGTCATACAGTTCAAAGTATTACCAGACATGACCCATTGTGTTACTATAGGTAACAACACACAATATATATATACTCAACAACAAAAGTTCCTGTGACACCAATATTTTGGTGTATTTTTCAAACAAGTAAAGTTTGGTTTTCAATATTGTAGTACATGTATGGAATCAAGTCACAAAAACCCAACTGCTACAGAAAAGCATGCATTCAATGCAAAAGTTGACTTTTATGCAAGCCCCATGCATTTCACTACCTAAGAATTGATAAAAAAAACGTGCGTTAACCGGATTCCATATGCATTGTTTAGCATCGTGCTTACAACCACTCAGAAAAAACAACAGCACTAAGAAATTATTCAACATTACGTAATGCCACGCCTGTCCGAAAATGAGCGTCTGCGAGCCATTGGTATACCTGAAGCAGGATCGTGTCAACGTGATGTTGCAAGACAATTTAACGTCCAGAGAAACACCATTTGGTGTTTATGGCAACGTTGGCAACAGACGAAAGCAGTGGCAGGCCACCCTCGGAGTGGCAGTCCACGTGTAACCAATAATCGACAAGACAACTGGATTCGAACAACACACCTACGAAATCGATTCCAGCCAGCAACAGTGACTACAAGAGGCATCCCTGGCCTTCGACGAATATCTTCACAAACCGTACGTCGCCGCCTCAGATGTGCAGGGATTGTCGCCAGAAGACCCGCCAGACGTCCTATTTTGACAGGAAACCACCGTCAAGCACGTCTACCGTGGTGCAGACAGCGTCTACGCTGGACGGCCATGCAGTGGGGACAAGTTCTATTCACTGACGAGTCTCGTTTTCACCTCAGCCACAGCGATTGACGGATTCGAGTGTAGCGACGTCGAGGTGAACGTTACGTCAATCATTGTGTCATTGAAGAAGATCGGTTCGGGGGCGGCAGCGTTATGGTATGGGGTGGGATTACAGCAAGACAGAGGACCCGTTTGATAGTGGTAGAGGAAAATCTCAATGGACAGCGCTACCGCGACGAGATCATCGACCCTGTTGTTCTACCGTTTTTTGCGTCGTTGTGGCCATGGCACCTTTCAACATGACATCGCCCGGCCTCATATTGCTCGACTTATTCAGGGTTCTCTTCAACAAAACAAGGTGAATGTCATCCCCTCCCCTGATCTCTCACCAATCGAGCACATGTGGGATGAGATGGATCGGCGCCTTCGACGTCAACCACGTGTTCCACAGACACTCCAGGAACTTCGAAACATGCTCCAGCAGATAGGGACAGATATCCCACAGGACTTGGCGCTACGCCTGGTCCATTCCATGAGAAGAAGATGTGTTGCTTGCATCGCAACCAGAGGTGGACACACACGCATTTGATTTGTAAATTGACCTTTTGGCAGGTTCATCTTTTTATGAAATCACGCATTTTCTGAAGTCAGTATGGCAAATTAAACCATTTGAACACTTACAGGAGTTTTTTATCTGTTGCAAACCGAAATTGTTTCAGATTTGGTAAAACACATAACTTTGCATTAAATCTTATTCAATGTCACAGGAACTTTTGTTGTTCAGTATATATACAGGAACATAGTGATGCAGCACTACATAACAGTGTAGCAGCATCTACCCATCTGTGTAATTATGACGTTGAAATATGTTGGGAAATCATCCGACCTTCACACGTGAATCCGTATAAATTGGTGGGAAGTGAAGTTGTTAAAACAGTAATAGGAAGCGATCTAGTGTGGTCTATGGCAAAATTGTGATAGGTCAGTCTATTTTATTGTTGGAGAATGACTGTAACAGTGTTACATTGTTTCTGTTGAGATTCGGTAGACGCTCATTGCATTGTGTTAGGACAGTGATTAATCGTCAGGAATGTAGTACTACTTAATGTAAGCAGTCGTCAGGAAGTTACTGTATCTAGATGCTAGTGTGGCCTGTAAACGTCCGGTATACCGTGGTGTATAGGATAGAATATTCTGCAATTTGTTAGATTGGTGAGGACACTGTGTAGACATTTCAAGTAACAGGTTCGACTATATAAGGGGACAAGAACGTGTTTACGTATTGCTGACGTATTTCATCACATCAGGGCCAGCCTTCGTGTGAGGATCGATTATCACCCCGGAATCCCCGCCTAGGTCCGTCTCGGGACTTGATCGCTTTTACCGCCGGATGAATATACTATTGTCCCTGTCTTTTGCTTTAGGCTACGACCTTTTTGTGTATTTGATACTGACCACTGCCATCATGATACAGACTGCCATTGAATATTGTAGTTCCACTCCAGTGTACTGCATTGTAAGCTTAGTGAAATTTGTAATACATTTGTTGATTGTGTTCCATCCGTTGGTTTCACCCTAAGTTCTTTCACTTACAGATTTCTGGGATAACATATTGTTTCAATTGGGAAATGCATTATAGTTTGGTTTCTATGTAAATCCCCCTTACACGGCAGTAAACCAAAAGCTACTCAGCTAAGCCAAATTCCATAATGTGAGGATATAGAGTAATTGATCTTAAATTTCCTTGAGACTGAAACCTGAAAAATGTAAAGGTTTGGCACTATACACAAACCTGCAGTTGAAACGTCAGGCATAGAAACGTAGAACCTGAAAACTCCTGAATAAGAAACGAAACCAACTGTTCAGCTGTGCTTGATGTACAAAGCTGTTTGAAAGATATTGAACCGTTTATGAGCTTTGACCCGGAAGTGAATCCTACCTACTTTTGAACGAAGTCCAAATTTATCCAAAGGCACCAGTTCAGATATTGTCTGATTTTAAGCCAAGTTCACAGTAATACTGAACACCTTATGGCTCTGGAAGGGAACCCTACACTCATTTCAACATATATGTCCTTATATTGCAAAGGGCATACGTTCGACTCTTGTGTGATGTGTAAACAAAGTTTCATTATAAAAATTGAACCCATTTTGAGTTATGCTTTGAAACTTAACACAATTTATAACGATTTTTAAAAATAGCATAAACATCTTTCAAAACTATGATTACTGGAGTGTGTAATCCAAGTCATGCTCGTCGAGTTAGACCCTGCTTGGTTTTTTAACCTGCTGCAATGCTTACGGAGACTACACCTCAACAAACATCCCTGGATGGGATGATCCTCACACGAAAGCTGGTCTTGATAATGAGAGATAAAGTGGGAGATGACAGACATGCACCCGCACCACTCATATAGTCCAACCAGCCATTACTTGACATCCGTTTTCTTCTTATTCCGGCCTCTGACACAGACAAGGCAGATGGAGATGAGAATCACGATGACGAGGATAGCAGCATCTTGGGCAGCAATGGCCATGATCACACGATCCGTGGACCAGTCGCTGGATGTCTGTGAAGCAGGCTGTGAAGCAGTCTGTGAAACAGGGCACAGACACGATTGGAAGAGAATTGGAATATATTAAAAACGGAAAAATAAACAAATTGAAAAGGATGTGACTGAAGAACATTAACATACATCCCGTGAGATCCGGGTCAGAAGAGGGTCCCGTTTCACAAAGCGCTCAGATCGTAACTCGATCGCTTTATGAAACGGGACCCAGGTCACTGCAACCCATGGGCCGTACGAGGCACCGTACGAGGCACCGTCACGGAGCGGCTAGTCAGAAAAGGTGGCTTGGTTGATTGCATGTCTATCAAGACGCCGGGGATCGTTGCTCATTGTATCGGTCGCTGGATTATTTGGCCCAGATTTTTTAATGGCCGCCGTCATATCACTGGAATATTGTTGTTCGTAACTACAAAACAACGAACACAATGTTCCAGGGAAACTATGCTAGCAGAAAAAAGTGAAAGTGCTTCATATAAAGTTCAATACAAAACAGATTCTGATATTAAATAATGCATCATTTAATACATATTCATGAAAACCCCTCTTCACAATTCGCACATGATTGTTAATGCACGGCAAACAATTTGAAGGATGGGTGTTTATAGGGAGAATGCTACTCATACACGTGTTTTTTTATGTGAAAAGCACACAATGCTTGTCTTGACACCAGGTGCTCAAAAAAACATTTTTGTTTCACCCTAAATATCGCTTACACAATGCAAACGGCTTGCTGAAAATCAACATCTAATCGCCGCGGGTAAGCTGCAAACAGGAATGGCCCATAACAAGGTTGGTAGACATTTTAACGTTCACCGAAACACAATATCACGTCTTTGGAAACGTCCTTGAGAGCAAAGCAACACCAATGACTTCCCCCGAACAGGTCATCAACGTCAACAAGACAACCATATTCGGTTGGTGCATCTGCGGAATTGATACCAATTGCTACATTAACACATTAGCTCGGACAATTCCTGGTTTGAGACCAATTAGTGGCAGAACAATTACGCAACCAATTTCGTTCCCACGTCATAACACATTGTACCCATGTCGGGAATCGAACTCGGGTCTTCGAAGTGACGAGCGGACGCTTTAACCACTAGGCTACCTGACCGCCCCTGGTGTGTTTAAAGAAGAAGATATTTAAGAGATTTTATTCCTAATTACATTTTAGTATTTGGAAAAAGAGCATGATACAAAGAATTAACAAATCCACCCCAGATAAATAAAGCTTAGTAGCCGAGCGTGTTTCTGTGTTGCATCATACGTTATATATTCCTAATATATGGTATCTATTATACAAAAACTCGCGATTGTGATACTTAATTTTCATAATTTTTAATTTTAATATTTCATAATAAAATAATCCATGATAAAGATGTAATTTTACTCAAAGAAGAATATCAGGAAATCGCGGGCACGGCTGACTCAGTCGTCTAAGCCGCCACAATTCGCTCTGCAGAGTTGCGTGCCGTGGGTACGCCGGTAGTCGTGTGTTCGAATTCCGGTTCACGCCGATTACGTTTCTAGGTTTGTCAGCACCATACCTGTCCTCGTGGGTTTCACCAAAGTGGTAAACGTCTGAGACCTGCATCACTTGAGGCTTTCCTCCCACATTAAGCTGACACGAAGTGATAAAACTGGAATACTGTTCAAAGCGGCTTTAAACCCAACTCACTCACTCACTCTTATCAAACCGCATAAGAATACAAAGTTGGAGTGAACCGCCTCATTTATCATATAGTGCCAAATTATTTACCTACATATGCTAGCGCACATCGGGATACACTGTCTACAAGGAGACATCACATCGATTTTTTGGACTCACAAGTAGTTCTTGTATATTGTTTGTACATCTATCCGATCGTGACACCAAGTTGATCAGATCGGTTTATCGCATCGCTTACATTAGCACTGCCCATTATATGATAAAGATTTCTGAAATAACGTTGACCTACTTGACACTGAGTAGTTGGCTTGAATGAATGGACATAGTTGGTGAGTCTTGGGGCGAGATAAAACACACACTGGCCGGTGTTGCTGGCGAGGTCTACAACGGTGATGTAGGCGAGGGGATGACAGCAATCACTCCTGTCGGGAGATATATGACACAAAGTGCTACGTTATTGTTCCTGGACAATTATTACTCAGTCCAAAAAATTAATTAATAATATTTTGTCAACCCAGTCGGTATGAAATATACTTTCGAAGTATTTTGCTTTGATATGATCTCAACCTCACAATGCTGACAGACATTTAAGACATGCAATTATTGACAGCTGGTGTTTTTGTGCCATGCTTTTTTTTATCTGTTTGTCTGTTTGTTGTTTAACGCCGCACTCATCAATATTCCAGCTATATGATGGCGGTCTGTAAATAATGGAGTCTGGACCTGACAATCCAGTGATCGACATCATGAGCATCGATCCACGCAATTGAAATCGATGACATGCATCAACCAAGTCAGCGAGCCTGACCACCCGATCCCGTTAGTCGCCTCTTACGACAAGCATAGTCGTCATTTACGCAAGCAGTTACAAAGCTCTGTCTTCTTGTGAAATATCTTGAAAAATGAACTCTATTGTCTCACATGCAACAGATTGGCAATTATTGAATTGTTGTCATGCTTACGCGATGGTAGCAGATATGGTGCCGTTGTAACCCACACTGAACGGGTCGTGTCGGAACGTTCCAGTTGTGTTGACAGAAGCGGTCACTAGGTAGAGGCCGAACCCATCGTCTTGAATCTCAGCAGTCCCTGACCAATTGTACTGGCTACACATACAGGGGTCAAGCATTGTGACGTCACAACTACCTGTCACCGCGGTGATGTTGCAGACAGGGATGGTGTTATCTTCTTTCTGAAAATAAACGTTTACCCTTTAGACAGGCAAAACAGCTTTCTTCGGACAAGTATTCCGACACATATAGCTCATTTCTCTACGTTGATGCTTACACTGATAAACTAGTTCTATTAAGCCCACTTACCCTGACAACACGCTCTTCTGTCGTGACGATCACGGTGTCATACTGGAAGTCGTCGTCAGCTGCGGCAGATGCAGACGCAGAAACTGTCACAGTGCTGGTGAACATTGAAACAGCTGAATATTATTCATAATATCATTTTATAAGAAAACAAAAACAAACGTCATCTTTGTCCCCGAAGTGCGTAAATGCTTCAAGTTGAACAAGATGATTTTCATTTCATATTAATGTTGAAAAAAACTAAATCTACAGAGTAATGTATATTAATTCCGTCCTAACACAGATAACAGAACTTGGCTTAGGTCTATGAAAACCAAACCTTTGAATGTCCCCTACTGATACTTTGCTACACCAAAGGCGGTGTACAGGTGCTACAGGGAAAGATACAATTAAAGATAGGCCGTTGTGACATAGGGCAAGCATGGTACATTGATCTCTTTTGATGTTTTACACTGCAGTCAGCAATATTCCAGTTGTCAAACCAGCAGTTCATAATAGGGCATCAGGGGCGGTCGGGTAGCCTAGTGGTTAAAGCGTTCGCTCGTCACGCCCAAGACCCGGGTTCGATTCCCGACATGGGTAAAATGTTTGAAACCAATTTCTGGTGTCCCCCGCCGTGATATTGCTGGAATATTGCTAAAAGCGGCGTAAAAGCATACTCACTCACTATTAGGGCATCAATGAAGATCGGGGATAGAAGATGTCTTCAGCAACCCATGCTTGTCGTAAGAGGCGACTAACGGGATCGGGTGGTCAGGCACGCTGACTTGGTTGATGCATGTCATCGTATCACAATTTCGTGGCTAGGTACTCATGATGTCAATCACTGGATTGTCTGGTCCAGACTCGATTATTAACAGACCGCCGTCATATAACTGGAATATTGCTGAGTGCGGCGTTAAACAACAAACATGTTAAGGGCAACGTCACTCGCTCTCAAGTTACTGATGACACGCTGTCAACAGTCAGGCCATCGATACATTTCAGTTGCATCTTACAAGTAGTTGGGCAGGGGACGTGTTCTCGATTTGATGTTGTCACGTGATGAGGGAGGCGTGTACCTGGTCACACCCACGGTCGACCCAGCGTGCAGTGAAAACTGCCCCAATGTATTCTGACCAGGCTGCAGCATGTACTCCAGAGACGTGGTCGTCTTTACAAAGTTCTGATCGTCTCTGACTGTGACAGTTACTGTGGACCCAGCTGCACCCTTGTTGATTACCAGGAATGGTACTGCCAACTGCTCGTTGATGTAAAGACTACCTGTAATAAGAAGAGGAATATCGACAGTCACAGCCAGTTTTAGCTGGCAGCCATTTGTTCTAAAATAAGATAGCTGTAGTTTTCATACTGAGACTAAATTGTGTTATTGTAACGCTTCTTGAAATACTGTCACCGACCCGCAGCGTGACAAACACAAAATCTCCCCAGACACTCACCACACTGCCATGTGCTTGTGGCTGCCAAAACTACTACCCTTCCAAGGGGTATAGACTCGTGAAGATCCAGGGTAGAATAGGTCCCTGCAACCCATGCTTGTCGTAAAAGGCGACTAACGGGTTTGGGTGGTCAGACACGCTGACTTTCTTGGTGCATGTCATCGAATACCAATTTCCTGGATCGATGCTCATGATATCAATCACTGGATTGTCTGGTCCAGGCACAATTGTTTTTGGCCGGAGACGCAGAAATTGGTTTCCCGCCTTGTCAGTGCCTTCAGTTGCCATTTGGAATGCCTTTGTCAAGTAAAAAGCAACAATACTGATTTTTTAAACTAATGGAGCATTGCCGCTTTTTCCTGAATACACACGCACACATTGCATACCAACATTAGTGCAATGACATTTTGACATAGAACATAAATCCTTCCAGAAGTTATGAAATACTTTTAATACAGCAATATTATTTAGGTGAAAAATGATGTCACTGAAATAATTTTAAATACACGTGTGTAAAGCTTTCAAAGGGTTTTATGGTAGACGCGTGGAGGACATTTTCAGGTTTGATCAGTGACAAACATTATGCCCAGTGCAATTCCTTACTTTGCCTTTGCATGTGTTTGTGACGGGTTCTCACCTATTCGCGGATGCCGGGGATCATTACAATTTGTACAGCGAATCATAAACACATGGTCATGCTATCTGTTCGGAATGTTACAATCGTCTCTGCTTAAATCCATCTTTGTTGTTGCTATGGAAAGGGTTTTGTTGTTTTGATTCTCTTTCAGAGAAGATTCAAGAAGCTCGGTTAGTTATCAGGCGGCTTGTACATGGCACCCCTTGCCTTATACAATACGGCTGGACGCATAACAACCCAGTGATATTAGATCTTCCTGTCTGACGACTTTGGGGAACATCATTGCAATTGATTGGGTATTGCATTAGAAATATTTCTGAAGCGTGCCCGATGGTCCCTTAGAGATTAACACACATATAGACACCTTAACCTGATGATGTAGGTAAAGTTTCGTTAAATTACTACAGTCATCGTTTTATTAGTATATTACACGTTTAATAGTTAGTGCATTATAATGATTGCAATCATGATTTGTTGCAAATGTAATATGTGAAATTGTCTGATAAAGTAGACTGAAATATATTATTAAGAAGACTTTCAATGAATGACAACAAATACCCTGATACCCTACCACATACTGTCTGAACGTAACTCAAGTGTTCAGGATCGACATCTGACACAAGCATGACACATGACAGGTGATAATAAAGTCATTGATAGCTTATAGCTTGTCTTGAAAGATAAAGAAATAAATCTAATGCAACAAAACACTATTCTTGAGGCGTGTACCATGTTTCATTACCCCCAACTGAGACCCGCTCAAGCGACTGTGTCTAAAGGGGGGTGGGGGGTGGGGGGTGGGGGGGAGTGTGTGTGTGTGTGTGTGTGGGGGGGGGGGGGGGGGGGGGGGGGGGGGGGTCAGTCGTCTAAGGCGCCGCATTCCGCTGTACGTAGTGATCTAGTTTTAGCTGATCTAGGTTTTACCTTCGCGGGTAGTGGGAACGTGATCCTGTAGACAAGCGAATCAGCCCGTGACGCCACCTGTGTCATCCCGCCATGTCTTGCGAGCTCAGATCCCTCAGGATCAGTTAAAATAAGGTTGTCTACGGTTCCAATATTCTCTGACGAAGGAATGCGTACAATGACCGTGGCATTTTCACCTGTGAATAGAAACAGCCTTCAGTTCAGAATACTGATACAATGTAGTTGAAGCTACATCTAAATGAAACAGGAAGACAACCTAACGACACACACATGCCTGCTGCCAGCTTCTATCACTCTTGTACTTTGTTCCAACAGCATTGAATCACTGAATATACAACAGCATTGAATCACTGAATATACAACAGCACTGAATCACTGAATATACAACAGCAATGAATCACTGAATATACAACAGCATTGAATCACTGAATATACAACAGCATTGAATCACTGAATATACAACAGCATTGAATCACCGAATATACAATGTGAAATTAATTGATGATACATGGCCGTATCTTTATCATTTAACTGGAAGATTTGCGGCTTTCATTAAGTATTTGATGGGACATGCAATTTGCATGGAGTGAAGGGTGGTATGGGTGTATGGAGTGTAGGGGGACATGGGTATGTGGAGTGAAGGGTGGTATGGGTGTAGGGAGTGTAGGGTGGTATGGGTGTATGGAGCGTAGGGGGACATGGGTATATGGATTGTAGGGGACACGGGTGTATGGAATGTAGGGTGGTATGGGTGTATGGAATATAGGGGGACATGGGTATATGGAGTGAAGGGTGGTATGGGTGTAGGGTGGTATGGGTTTATGGAGTGTAGGGGGACATGGGTATATGGATTGTAGGGGACATGGGTATATGGAGTGAAGGGTGGTATGGGTGTATGGAATGTAGGGTGGTATGGGTGTATGGAGTGAAGGGTGGTATGGGTGTATGGAATGTAGGGGGACATGGGTATATGGAGTGAAGGGTGGTATGGGTGTATGGAGTGTAGGGGGACATGGGTATATGGAGTGAAGGGTGGTATGGGTGTATGGAATGTAGGGTGGTATGGGTGTATGGAGTGTAGGGGGACATGGGTATATGGATTGTAGGGGACACGGGTGTATGGAGTGAAGGGTGGTATGGGTGTATGGAATGTAGGGTGGTATGGGTGTATGGAGTGTAGGGGGACATGGGTATATGGATTGTAGGGGACACGGGTGTATGGAGTGAAGGGTGGTATCGGTGTATCGAATGGTGGGTGGTATGGGTGTATGGAGTGTAGGGGGACATGGGTATATGGAGTGTAGGGGGACATGGGTATATGGAGTGTATATGGAACGTCGGGGACATGGGTATATGAAGTGTAGGGGGACATGGGTATATGGAGTGAAGGGTGGTATGGGCGTACGGTGAGGTGAGGTGAAATGGGGTTTAACGTCGCATCCAAGATTATTGCACTTATATAGTGACGTGCATGCACGTGTATGTGTGTGGCTGCTTGTACTAGTCCGGACTGATGCCGATTTATAGTGCTAGCTCACTGAGATACCATGCCGCAGTTTAACATGAATACCCCACTCAGACACAGTATACTGACTCCGGGCCGACCAGTCCTTGTTTTAGCCCCTTAATGCCGAGCGCCAGACAAGGTAACAACAAGTACCATCTTTTAACGTCTTTTGGTATGACGCGGCCGGGGATCGAACCCCGGACCTTCCGCTCTCCGGGCGGACGCTCTACCATTAGACCACGAAGTGGCCATGGGCGTATGGAGTGTAGGGGCCATGAGTACAAACAGCTGTTGGGGCATAGATACAAACAGCTGTTAGGGGCATGGGTACAAACAGCCGTAGAGGCATGGGTACAAACAGCTGTAGAGGCATAGATACACACAGCTGTAGGGGCATAGATACAAACAGCTGTAGGGGCATAAATACAAACAGCTGTAGGGTAATAGATACAAACAGCTATAGGGGCATAGATACAAACAGCCGTAGAGGCATGGATACAAACAGCTGTAGGGTAATAGATACAAACAGCTGTAGGGTAATACATACAAACAGATGTAGGGTAATAGATACAAACAGCTGTAGGGGCATAGATACAAACAGCTGTAGGGTAATAGATACAAACAGCCGTAGTGGCATAGATACAAACAGCTGGAGGGGCATAGATACAAACAGCTGTAGGGTAATAGATACAAACAGCTGTAGGGGCATGAGTACAAACAGCTGTAGGGTAATAGATAGAAACAGCCGTAGAGGCATAGATACAAACAGCTGTAGGGTAATAGATAGAAACAGCCGTAGAGGCATAGATACAAACAGCTGTAGGGGCATAGATACAAACAGCTGTAGGGTAATAGGTTCAAACAGCTGTAGGGGACATAGATACAAACAGCTGTAGGGTAATAGATACAAACAGCTGTAGGGTAATAGATACAAACAGCTGTAGGGTAATAGATACAAACAGCTGTTGGGCCATAGATACAAACAGCTCTAGGGGCATAAATACAAATAGCTATAGGGGCATAGATACAAACATCTATAGGGGCATAGATACAAAGAGCTAAAGGGGAAAAGATACGAACAGCTTTTGGGGGTATAGAAACAAACAGATGTAGGGGCATAGATACAAACAGCTGTTGGGGGCATGGGTACAAATAGCTTTAGGGGCATAGATACAAACATCTATAGGGGCATAGATACAAAGAGCTAAAGGGAAATAGATACGAACAGCTATAGGGGAATAGATACGAACAGCTATAGGGGAATAGATAAAAAACAGTTATAGGGGCAATGGTACAAACAGCCGTAGGGGCATAGATACAAACAGCCGTAGGGGCATTGGTACAAACAGCTGTAGGGGCATAGATACAAACAGCTGTAGGGGCATAGATACAAACAGCTGTAGGGGCATAGATACAAACAGCTGTAGAGGCATAGATACAAACAGCTGTAGGGGCATAGATACAAACAGCTGTAGGGGCATAGATACAAACAGCCGTAGGGGCATTGGTACAAACAGCTGTAGGGGCATAGATACAAACAGCTGTAGGGGCATAGATACAAACAGCTGTAGAGGCATAGATACAAACAGCTGTAGGGGCATAGATAGAAACAGCTGTAGGGGCATTGGTACAAACAGCTGTAGAGGCAAAGATACAAACAGCTGTAGGGGCATAGATACAAACAGCTGTAGGGGCATTGGTACAAACAGCTGTAGGGGCAAAGATACAAACAGCTGTAGGGGCATAGATACAAACAGCCGTAGGGGCATTGGTACAAACAGCTGTAGGGGCATAGATACAAACAGCTGTATGGGCATAGATACAAACAGCTGTAGGGGCATGAGTACAAACAGCTGTAAGGGCATGGATACAAACAGCTGTAGGAGCATGAGTACAAACAGCCGTAGGGGCATAGATACAAACAGCTGTAGGGGCATAGATACAAACAGCTGTAGGGGCATAGATACAAACAGCTGTAGAGGCATAGATACAAACAGCTGTAGAGGCATAGATACAAACAGCTGTAGAGGCATAGATACAAACAGCTGTAGAGGCATAGATACAAACAGCTGTAGAGGCATAGATACAAACAGCTGTAGAGGCATAGATACAAACAGCTGTAGGGGCATAGATACAAACAGCCGTAGGGGCATAGATACAAACAGCTGTAGGAGCATGAGTACAAACAGCTGTAGGGGCAATGGTACAAACAGCCGTAGGGGCATGAGTACAAAACAACTGTAGGGGCATAGATACAAACAGCTGTAGAGGCATAGATACAAACAGCTGTAGGGGCATAGATAGAAACAGCCGTAGGGGCATGTGTACAAAACAACTGTAGGGGCATAGATACAAACAGCTGTAGAGGCAAAGATACAAACAGCTGTAGAGGCATAGATACAAACAGCTGTAGAGACATAGATACAAACAGCTGTAGAGGCATAGATACAAACAGCTGTAGGGGCATAGATAGAAACAGCCGTAGGGGCATGTGTACAAAACAACTGTAGGGGCATAGATACAAACAGCTGTAGAGGCAAAGATACAAACAGCTGTAGAGGCATAGATACAAACAGCTGTAGAGACATAGATACAAACAGCTGTAGAGGCATAGATACAAACAGCTGTAGAGGCATAGATACAAACAGCTGTAGAGGCATAGATACAAACAGCTGTAGAGGCAAAGATACAAACATCTATAGGGGCATAGATACAAAGAGCTAAAGGGGAAAAGATACGAACAGCTTTTGGGGGTATAGAAACAAACAGATGTAGGGGCATAGATACAAACAGCTGTTGGGGGCATGGGTACAAATAGCTTTAGGGGCATAGATACAAACATCTATAGGGGCATAGATACAAAGAGCTAAAGGGAAATAGATACGAACAGCTATAGGGGAATAGATAAAAAACAGTTATAGGGGCAATGGTACAAACAGCCGTAGGGGCATAGATACAAACAGCCGTAGGGGCATTGGTACAAACAGCTGTAGGGGCATAGATACAAACAGCTGTAGGGGCATAGATACAAACAGCTGTAGGGGCATGAGTACAAACAGCTGTAAGGGCATGGATACAAACAGCTGTAGGAGCATGAGTACAAACAGCCGTAGGGGCATAGATACAAACAGCTGTAGGGGCATAGATACAAACAGCTGTAGGGGCATAGATACAAACAGCTGTAGGGGCATAGATACAAACAGCCGTAGGGGCATTGGTACAAACAGCCGTAGGGGCATAGATACAAACAGCTGTAGAGGCATAGATACAAACAGCTGTAGGGGCATAGATACAAACAGCTGTAGGGGCACTGGTACAAACAGCTGTAGAGGCAAAGATACAAACAGCTGTAGGGGCATAGATACAACAGCTGTAGGGGCATTGGTACAAACAGCTGTAGGGGCAAAGATACAAACAGCTGTAGGGGCATAGATACAAACAGCCGTAGGGGCAAAGATACAAACAGCTGTAGGGGCATAGATACAAACAGCTGTATGGGCATAGATACAAACAGCTGTAGGGGCATGAGTACAAACAGCTGTAAGGGCATGGATACAAACAGCTGTAGGAGCATGAGTACAAACAGCCGTAGGGGCATAGATACAAACAGCTGTAGGGGCATAGATACAAACAGCTGTAGGGGCATAGATACAAACAGCTGTAGGGGCATAGATACAAACAGCTGTAGAGGCATACATACAAACAGCTGTAGAGGCATAGATACAAACAGCTGTAGAGGCATAGATACAAACAGCTGTAGAGGCATAGATACAAACAGCTGTAGAGGCATAGATACAAACAGCTGTAGGGGCATAGATACAAACAGCTGTAGGGGCATAGATACAAACAGCTGTAGGAGCATGAGTACAAACAGCTGTAGGGGCAATGGTACAAACAGCCGTAGGGGCATGAGTACAAAACAACTGTAGGGGCATAGATACAAACAGCTGTAGAGGCATAGATACAAACAGCTGTAGGGGCATAGATAGAAACAGCCGTAGGGGCATGTGTACAAAACAACTGTAGGGGCATAGATACAAACAGCTGTAGAGGCAAAGATACAAACAGCTGTAGAGGCATAGATACAAACAGCTGTAGAGACATAGATACAAACAGCTGTAGAGGCATAGATACAAACAGCTGTAGGGGCATAGATAGAAACAGCCGTAGGGGCATGTGTACAAAACAACTGTAGGGGCATAGATACAAACAGCTGTAGAGGCAAAGATACAAACAGCTGTAGAGGCATAGATACAAACAGCTGTAGAGACATAGATACAAACAGCTGTAGAGGCATAGATACAAACAGCTGTAGAGGCATAGATACAAACAGCTGTAGAGGCATAGATACAAACAGCTGTAGAGGCATAGATACAAACATCTATAGGGGCATAGATACAAAGAGCTAAAGGGGAAAAGATACGAACAGCTTTTGGGGGTATAGAAACAAACAGATGTAGGGGCATAGATACAAACAGCTGTTGGGGGCATGGGTACAAATAGCTTTAGGGGCATAGATACAAACATCTATAGGGGCATAGATACAAAGAGCTAAAGGGAAATAGATACGAACAGCTATAGGGGAATAGATAAAAAACAGTTATAGGGGCAATGGTACAAACAGCCGTAGGGGCATAGATACAAACAGCCGTAGGGGCATTGGTACAAACAGCTGTAGGGGCATAGATACAAACAGCTGTAGGGGCATAGATACAAACAGCTGTAGGGGCATGAGTACAAACAGCTGTAAGGGCATGGATACAAACAGCTGTAGGAGCATGAGTACAAACAGCCGTAGGGGCATAGATACAAACAGCTGTAGGGGCATAGATACAAACAGCTGTAGGGGCATAGATACAAACAGCTGTAGGGGCATAGATACAAACAGCCGTAGGGGCATTGGTACAAACAGCCGTAGGGGCATAGATACAAACAGCTGTAGAGGCATAGATACAAACAGCTGTAGGGGCATAGATACAAACAGCTGTAGGGGCATTGGTACAAACAGCTGTAGAGGCAAAGATACAAACAGCTGTAGGGGCATAGATACAAACAGCTGTAGGGGCATTGGTACAAACAGCTGTAGGGGCAAAGATACAAACAGCTGTAGGGGCATAGATACAAACAGCCGTAGGGGCATTGGTACAAACAGCTGTAGGGGCATAGATACAAACAGCTGTATGGGCATAGATACAAACAGCTGTAGGGGCATGAGTACAAACAGCTGTAAGGGCATGGATACAAACAGCTGTAGGAGCATGAGTACAAACAGCCGTAGGGGCATAGATACAAACAGCTGTAGGGGCATAGATACAAACAGCTGTAGGGGCATAGATACAAACAGCTGTAGGGGCATAGATACAAACAGCTGTAGAGGCATAGATACAAACAGCTGTAGAGGCATAGATACAAACAGCTGTAGAGGCATAGATACAAACAGCTGTAGAGGCATAGATACAAACAGCTGTAGAGGCATAGATACAAACAGCTGTAGGGGCATAGATACAAACAGCCGTAGGGGCATAGATACAAACAGCTGTAGGAGCATGAGTACAAACAGCTGTAGAGGCATAGATACAAACAGCTGTAGAGGCATAGATACAAACAGCTGTAGGGGCATAGATAGAAACAGCCGTAGGGGCATGTGTACAAAACAACTGTAGGGGCATAGATACAAACAGCTGTAGAGGCAAAGATACAAACAGCTGTAGAGGCATAGATACAAACAGCTGTAGAGACATAGATACAAACAGCTGTAGAGGCATAGATACAAACAGCTGTAGAGGCATAGATACAAACAGCTGTAGAGGCATAGATACAAACAGCTGTAGAGGCATAGATACAAACATCTATAGGGGCATAGATACAAAGAGCTAAAGGGGAAAAGATACGAACAGCTTTTGGGGGTATAGATACAAACAGATGTAGGGGCATAGATACAAACAGCTGTTGGGGGCATGGGTACAAATAGCTTTAGGGGCATAGATACAAACATCTATAGGGGCATAGATACAAAGAGCTAAAGGGAAATAGATACGAACAGCTATAGGGAAATAGATAAAAAACAGTTATAGGGGCAATTTTAATGGTACAAACAGCCGTAGGGGCATAGATACAAACAGCCGTAGGGGCATTGGTACAAACAGTTATAGGGGCATAGATACAAACAGTTATAGGGGCATAGATACAAACAGCTGTAGAGGCATAGATACAAACAGTTATAGGGGCATAGATACAAACAGCCGTAGGGGCATTGGTACAAACAGTTATAGGGGCATAGATACAAACAGCTGTAGGGGCATAGATACAAACAGTTATAGGGGCATAGATACAAACAGCTGTAGAGGCATAGATACAAACAGTTATAGGGGCATAGATACAAACAGTTATAGGGGCATAGATACAAACAGTTATAGGGGCATAGATACAAACAGCTGTAGGGGCATAGATACAAACAGTTATAGGGGCATAGATACAAACAGCTGTAGAGGCATAGATACAAACAGCTGTAGGAGCATAGATACAAACAGTTATAGGGGCATAGATACAAACAGCTGTAGGGGCATAGATACAAACAGTTATAGGGGCATAGATACAAACAGCTGTAGAGGCATAGATACAAACAGCTGTAGGAGCATAGATACAAACAGCCGTAGGGGCATAGATACAAACAGCCGTAGGGGCATAGATACAAACAGCTGTAGGGGCATAGATACAAACAGCTGTAGGGGCATAGATACAAACAGCTGTAGGGGCATAGATACAAACAGCTGTATGGGCATAGATACAAACAGCTGTAGAGGCATAGATACAAACAGCTGTAGGGGCATAGATACAAACAGCTGTAGAGGCATAGATACAAACAGCTGTAGAGGCATAGATACAAACAGCTGTAGAGGCATAGATACAAACAGCTGTAGAGGCATAGATACAAACAGCTGTAGAGGCATAGATACAAACAGCTGTAGAGGCATAGATACAAACAGCTGTAGAGGCATAGATACAAACAGCTGTAGAGGCATAGATACAAACAGCTGTAGGGGCATAGATACAAACAGCTGTATGGGCATAGATACAAACAGCTGTAGGGGCATAGATACAAACAGCCGTAGGGGCATAGATACAAACAGCTGTAGGGGCATAGATACAAACAGCTGTATGGGCATGGATACAAACAGCTGTAGAGGCATAGATACAAACAGCTGAAGGGGCATAGATACAAACAGCTGTAGGGGCATAGATACAAACAGCTGTAGGGGCATAGATACAAACAGCTGTAGGGGCATAGATACAAACAGCTATAGGGGCATAGATACAAACAGCCGTAGGGGCATGAGTACAAAACAGCTGTAGGGGCATAGATACAAACAGCTGTAGAGGCATAGATACAAACAGCTGTAGAGGCATAGATACAAACAGCTGTAGAGGCATAGATACAAACAGCTGTAGAGGCATAGATACAAACAGCTGTAGAGGCATAGATACAAACAGCTGTAGAGGCATAGATACAAACAGCTGTAGAGGCATAGATACAGACAGCTGTAGGGGCATGAGTACAAAACAACTGTAGAGGCATAGATACAAACAGCTGTAGAGGCATGGATACAAACAGCTGTAGAGGCATAGATACAAACAGCTGTAGGGGCATGAGTACAAACAGCTGTAGGGGCATAGATACAAACAGCTGTAGAGGCATAGATACAAACAGCTGTAGAGGCATAGATACAGACAGCTATGGGGGCATGAGTACAAACAGCTGTAGGGGCATAGATACAAACAGCTGTAGAGGCATAGATACAAACAGCTATGGGGGCATGAGTACAAAACAACTGTAGGGGACATGGATACAAACAGCCGTTGGGGGCATAGATACAAGGAGGTAACATCGTTCATTCAATAGTTTCGGAGAAGGTCAAAACTCAAAGAGGCGGGCAACGGAAAGGGTAAAACCAACCGTTTAATCAATTCACGATTAGTCTGTTGATTTTATAAAGTCATTGATGCTTGTATCTTCAGAACAGAGTGACCACTAAGTATTTACCCCAAAGTGGCTGCTTACTCTGCTGCTTGGAGATACAGACTGTTCACTGTGATGAGGGGAAATACCAACCTGCAATAGGCTTCGCAGTCATCTCATAATCAAAGCCAGAGTTGGGGTCCAGCTTCACAAAGGTTGTTGATATGTCCAGGGTACTCTGACCTTTCACCTCCACCTCCCAAGAGTTGGAACCCTGGCGGGCTAGTCTCCACATCCCGGGGGTTGGGTTCTGATAAAGTTAGTCGAAAGAAAGTTTACCTTTCTCAGAATGCACATGAAAAGGTTGATTTACATTCACAGTTTTCGTTTGATATCTTGTGACTGCAACTACTATAACAAAGGTTGCCAAGAAGTTTTTGAAACGTTCAAATTGGCCCTTTTTACCGTTATGTTTCACTTGCTTTCTGTCCTATTACTGTATGGCCTTGGCGTGTAATACTGATCCTAGAAGAAACAAGTAATTCGCCCGGTACATATGCTTAGACCATCTATCATTGTTTTAATTGTATATTTAAACTTTGGGCTAAATTCGCCTACAAACCCCTGCAACTGATGGCTTGGTGCAAATCCTGCTTGGGTATCTTGCAGGTAGCACACATACCGTTAGTCCCAACGGACCTAATGAAATGGACTAACTTTGTTGCTACCTGGTGATTTATCGCCAAAATTGGATTTTGAACCGTTATATTATTGTCACACATTGTTACTGTTAATGTATTACAAACCTGTGAGGGTCCAGTTGATTCACTCGTCCATATATATGTTATATGTATGACATGAATATATTGTTTAATAAATTATAGATGTAAAGCTTATTTCTGCATCAAATATTGCCGATATGACCTTCAATTTTAACTCACTCACGCATTACGGTTGATAGAATAAGTCAGGTATTGATATTGTGGTGTTTGAAATATATTTAATGGATTTATGAGACAAAGGATGTAATTCTTATTCTATTGAGCTAATGAAGTAAAAAGTTCATGAAGTTTTTCTTCTGTTTAATGGTGAGGCGCACAAAGTGAGTGAGTGAGTGAATGAATGAGCTCGGTGTGACGTCACTTTTAGCAATGGTCAAGAATATTTATCATGTTGCTCACTTGAATCTTGACCAACTGTATTCCATCTCCAAGGTCAGACACAGTTACGTTTGAAGTCGCCTCAGTGTCTGAAATTACATAGGACAATAAATGGACCAGTTCTAGTTCTAGTTGATGTGTGGTTGTATTCTGATACTGAGAGGACTCCATCACTCATCCACACTATCACTATCTACGATCGAACACATTTACCATCATGTGTTAATGCCACAGTTTTTCAGATCTTGCTACCACAAAAAAGTCGTTTTTAACCCCAATACAGGTCAAGTCAGAATGACCTTTCAGGAAATTTGACCGACCAATGAATGACAAGAAGTCGACATTAGCCAATCTGAAATCAGTGCTATACGGTCCCAATTTCAAATTAAGCTTATAAACATATCATGCCAAAGCGCCTGACTTAAAATGAAAAAATCAAAGTAACAGCCATTAGATATTCGGAGTGTGGTGGGGTGGGGTGGGGTGCTGGGTGTCTGGGATTTTATAAATTTACCCCGATTATTCATGAAAAATATAATTGTGCTTCCGACTGCTTCCCACTTTGCAGAGGACTGTTTGACGTCATGGAGTCTATACATGCTGGCGAGCAGAGTCTGTACTGGATTTGACCAAATTATGACTGACGTGTGGACTAGACGTGAACAGGGTGAGTAAATTATACTTACTGTCGGGTGTATACAGTATATACACGGGCGTATTTCTGTCCAAAGTTACAATCTTAATTGTTGCTTGTAGAATGGTCTGATCCACGGGAAATGTGACATTCACGTCAGATGCTGATATTGATGATTTGGCGATAGTGACTGAAGGCGTAAGCGATTCCTGGAAAAAAAGCTGAACTGCTGGAACAAGGTCGAAATTACCCTCCACTTGACGTCCACTAGATTTGTATCAGTGGGTGAGTGAGTGAGTATGGTTTACGCCGCTTTTAGCAATATTCCAGCAATATCACGGCTTAACACATTGTACCAATGTCGGGAATCGAACCCAGGTCTTCGGCATGACGAGCAAACGCTTTAACAACTAGGCTACCCGATCACTTGTCAGTAGACGTAAAAGTAGTTATTTCGCCAAATGTCTCAGTTTTATTGTTGAAAACAATTCGTGACATGCTAGACTTCCTAAACAATTTAATTGCCTTTGCGTGTGTGTGTGAAAGGTCGCACATATGGGATAGGGCACATGATTATGATATTGTCGGAAGTGTACAATGTACCTTGCCTTTAGCCGATATTTCTTATGATTATGGAAAGAGTTTTGTCGCTTATATTTGTATTTATATATTTATATTTATTTTTATTCCATATATTCGTAGTAATTTCGTACCTAAAATCATCATCTACCGTGCTGTTAATTTCTTGTCTGATTGATAAAGCTGGTAGCTGCGCATATAAGACAGTTAGATATATTTCAACAGGGACTTTTACCTTTATTATGTCAACAACTGTGGCGATGCCGTTCTTGTTTGTGAAGTATACAGAGCCTCCAGTAGCTGTGGCCAGTGTTCTGTATAAATCCTCACCTGAAAGATGCGACTTTCAACTTAATATATGCAACTCCAGTAAGCCCAAACATTGGAGATAGATTCTATTAGAATTGTACCCACAGTGACAAAAAATATATCCGATGCAAGTCTCTGTTTTGACTTGACTGCATATTGACATGTGATAGTGAAAAAGATAATTATTGAGTACCTGTCGGCTTATTCCAAAAGCCACAATCACCGGTTAATATGAATTGCAAGTGGACGTTTTTCAGCGCCGCCAGTGACAGCACCGCGACGTGTAAAGGTGCATCTTTAGCCGAGGCATCGGTGAAGACAAATACGTCGATGTTGTTATTACAAACAGTCAGAGCTGAAAACGAATTGACTTACTTGAAATACTTGCATACAAATGGTGAATTATGTTTAGTGCCATGTCGCAGTTTCAAACACAATAGATACAGGTAAACCCTGCTGGCAGCGTTGGAATCTGACAATAATACCATAACTCAAGTTTAAGGTTAAAAAGTCAATATTTACTAAACTTGCAGTCATTGGTTGGAAATAGAAGCAACTCTACTAAATGTAGCTCAAGGCAAATGATGAAATGTGCCAAAATGTGAGATCAGTTCGTGATCTGATTTGGGGACACCTACATAAGAAGTCGTGGACACATAATAACATGCCCCAAGCCTCACACTATGTCCCTGAGTTGGGTTGAGACGCCGTGATGTAAATAAAACACTCGTCAAAGCGCCGTTAAACCCAACTTCATCCCCCTTTGTATTGGGTGGACAGGTATTTACATGAGACAAGAGTGAGTGAGTTGGGTTTAACGCCGCTTTTAACAGTATTCCAGTTATATCACGGCGGGTCAGCTTAATGTGGGAGGAAAGCCCGAAGTGATGCAGGTCTCAGACGTTTACCATTTCGGTGAAATCCACGAGCACGGGTGCTGACAAACCTAGAAACATAATCGGGGCGAACCGGGATTCGAACCCACAATCATAGGTTTCTGGTGTGCCCAAGGGGCGCAACTCTGCACAGCGAATCGCGGCGCCTTAGACGACTGGGCCACCCGTGCCCCCTCATGAGACAAGATCTAACAGTGGTTGCCAGACCTTGGAGTATACAGTTGTCGGGGAGTGAAACGCTCAGGGACAGACACTCCGGACCTTCGTGTTTACAAGCCTATAGTGGACAAAATGTCACGATTAAATATGAGTCATCCTAAACGTGCATTTGGTGTATTTCTTCCTGCTAAGATTCAACATTCATTGGAAGAAATGAGATCAGTAAAATGACAACTATTGCAAACGTTGAGTTGGCCCGTAACAAAATCACCTAGTCCTATGGAGTGGATAAAGTATTAGGTATTTAAGTTATCAGCATAACACAGTGATGTTCCTCACCATTCATTAGTCCATCCATAGCATATTCTGGACAATCTTCGCCACCAGAAATGCTGATCTCGTCCAGGTATCTTAGCGCATCATTTCCATCATCGGTCAAGTAAACCCTGCTTTTGGACACTGAAACAAAACCACAAGTTAATAACACAAGTGTGTATATAAGCAAAACATTTCAAGTAAAATGTTCGAGTTTATACAGTTTTGATTAGAGGTGATGTTAAGATCACGAAGCAATATAGAAACGTCTCATACTTACAAGGGTCACTGAAGAGGGAGAGTATGTAATTAACTGGTTTTTCCAAAGTAGCCCGTATCACAGACGAAACTGCGGCAATGTCTTCTTTCATGGAACCAGAATAGTCTATGACGAATACAACCGAGGCTTCAGGTTTCAGTTGGAATAATTCGTTGAACTTTTTGATCCCGATGATACCCCTGATTCCGTATTCTGGGCACAAACGAAGTGGTATAAATGATTGAACAAAAGCAACTGAAATATTTATATATTGTTGAGCATGATGCAAAATGAAGATTGAAACAATGCAGCTAATAAAAAGTTTTTTGTACATGAACGATGTTACCTTCATCATCAAAGAAGTAAGTGGTGTGTTCAATGGCTGCCTGTGCTGCCGCCTGGTGGAGGTGGCTGTGGGGGGAGAGGGACCCGAGGGTAGAGTCTTTGTTGATGCCCCCCAGGGCTGCCACTGATGAACTGGTGTCGTCCAACGGACCGCCATGACTGCACTTCCCGGTGTTTGAGATGCTGTGGTGTTCTGAAAAGAAGAATGTAATTTATCGTGTTGACAAAATGTTTGAACTATGCAAAGAATTCGAATTCGTATTTCAATGTAGCACCTGAGGAAGTTGTAAACACACATTAAGTAGGATGTGATGATTGTTTGATGCACTTTGATACAACTGATGATAACTATTCAGTAAGTCATCAGCTTTAAACAAGAACAGAGTGAAATTGATAATGTAGTAAATTTTAAAGTTTACTGTGAGGTTTGACAGCATCTTGTCCACTTCTGTAACCACTTGTTAGAATCTTGCCATCCACAATCATATTGTCTTCACACATTTTGTCCAATTCTCCTCTATAAGAAAGACACTGAGTTGTTAATGTGCCATTTTCGATGATAGCGTACATTCAAACGGGTCTAATACTTTTAGCCAAGGGGCGGTCGGGTAACCTAGATGTTTAAGCGTTAGTTCGTCACGCCGAAGACCCGGGTTCGATTCCCGACATGGGCACAATGTGTGAAGCCCATTTCTGGTGTCCCCCGCCGTGATATTGCTGGAATATTGCTAAAAGCGGCGTAAAACCATACTCACTCACTGATACATGTATGTACAGATGACACATTTTTACTTGGGTACGGTCAAAACGCATTACAAAACTCATTATATGCCTTCAAATTGCAAATTGCAACTTGATGTCAACATATCTAAATTAAATTCCAAAATTTAGAAAGGTAAAGTAAAGAAAATAAATTGTCATTTTCGTTTGGTGTTTAAAAAGTTGATGATTACCCAATAAAATTTAAAAATATATAAAAAAGCACACCTGTGAGGGTCCAGTTGATTCACTCGTCCATATATGTTATATGTATGACATGAATATATTGTTTAATAAATTATAGATGTAAAGCTTATTTCTGCATCAAATATTGCCGATATGACCTTCAATTTTAACTCACTCACGCATTATGGTTGATAGAATAAGTCAGGTATTGATATTGTGGTGCTTGAAATATATTTAATGGATTTATGAGACAAAGGATGTAATTCTTATTCTATTGAGCTTATGAAGTAAAAAGTTCATGAAGTTTTTCTTTTGTTTAATGGTGAGGCGCACAAAGTGAGTGAGTGAGTGAGTGAATGAGCTCGGTGTGACGTCACTTTTAGCAATGGTCAAGAATATTTATCATATTGCTCACTTGAATCTTGACCAACTGTATTCCATCTCCAAGGTCAGACACAATTACGTTTGAAGTCGCCTCAGTGTCTGAAATCACATAGGACAATAAATGGACCAGTTCTAGTTCTAGTTGATGTGTGGTTGTATTCTGATACTGAGAGGACTCCATCACTCATCCACACTATCACTATCTACGATCGAACACATTTACCATCATGTGTTAATGCCACAGTTTTTCAGATCTTCCTACCACAAAAAAGTCGTTTTTAACCCCAATACAGGTCAAGTCAGAACGACCTTTCAGGAAATTTGACCGACCAATGAATGACAAGAAGTCGACATTAGCCAATCTGAAATCAGTGCTATACGGTCCCAATTTCAAATTAAGCTTATAAACATATCATGCCAAAGTGCCTGACTTAAAATGAAAAAATCAAAGTAACAGCCATTAGATATTCGGAGTGTGGTGGGGTGGGGTGGGGTGCTGGTTGTCTGGGATTTTATAAATTTACCCCGATTATTCATGAAAAATATAATTGTGCTTCCGACTGCTTCCCACTTTGCAGAGGACTGTTTGACGTCATGGAGTCTATACATGCTGGCGAGCAGAGTCTGTACTGGATTTGACCAAATTATGACCGACGTGTGGACTAGACGTGAACAGGGTGAGTAAATTATACTTACTGTCGGGTGTATACAGTATATACACGGGCGTATTTCTGTCCAAAGTTACAATCTTAATTGTTGCTTGTAGAATGGTCTGATCCACAGGAAATGTGACATTCACGTCAGATGCTGATATTGATGATTTGGCGATAGTGACTGAAGGCGTTAGCGATTCCTGGAAAAAAAGCTGAACTGCTGGAACAAGGTCGAAATTACCCTCCACTTGACGTCCACTAGATTTGTATCAGTGGGTCAGTGAGTGAGTATGGTTTACGCCGCTTTTAGCAATATTCCAGCAATATCACGGCTTCACACATTGTACCAAGGTCGGGAATCGAACCCAGGTCTTCGGCATGACGAGCAAACGCTTTAACAACTAGGCTACCCGATCACTTGTCAGTAGACGTAAAAGTAGTTATTTCGCCAAATGTCTCAGTTTTATTGTTGAAAACAATTCGTGACATGCTAGACTTCCCAAACAATTTAATTGCCTTTGCGTGTGTGTGTGAAAGGTCGCACATATGGGATAGGGCACATGATTATGATATTGTCGGAAGTGTACAATGTACCTTGCCTTTAGCCGATATTTCTTATGATTATGGAAAGAGTTTTGTCGCTTATATTTGTATTTATATATTTATATTTATTTTTATTCCATATATTCGTAGTAATTTCGTACCTAAAATCATCCTCTACCGTGCTGTTAATTTCTTGTCTGATTGATAAAGCTGGTAGCTGCGCATATAAGACAGTTAGATATATTTCAACAGGGACTTTTACCTTTATTATGTCAACAACTGTGGCGATGCCGTCCTTGTTTGTGAAGTATACAGAGCCTCCAGTAGCTGTGGCCAGTGTTCTGTATAAATCCTCACCTGAAAGATGCGACTTTCAACTTAATATATGCAACTCCAGTAAGCCCAAACATTGGAGATAGATTCTATTAGAATTGTACCCACAGTGACAAAAAATATATCCGATGCAAGTCTCTGTTTTGACTTGACTGCATATTGACATGTGATAGTGAAAAAGATAATTATTGAGTACCTGTCGGCTTATTCCAAAAGCCACAATCACCGGTTAATATGAATTGCAAGTGGACGTTTTTCAGCGCCGCCAGTGACAGCACCGCGACGTGTAAAGGTGCATCTTTAGCCGAGGCATCGGTGAAGACAAATACGTCGATGTTGTAATTACAAACAGTCAGAGCTGAAAACGAATTGACTTACTTGAAATACTTGCATACAAATGGTGAATTATGTTTAGTGCCATGTCGCAGTTTCAAACACAATAGATACAGGTAAACCCTGCTGGCAGCGTTGGAATCTGACAATAATACCATAACTCAAGTTTAAGGTTAAAAAGTCAATATTTACTAAACTTGCAGTCATTGGTTGGAAATAGAAGCAACTCTACTAAATGTAGCTCAAGGCAAATGATGAAATGTGCCAAAATGTGAGATCAGTTCGTGATCTGATTTGGGGACACCTACATAAGAAGTCGTGGACACATAATAACATGCCCCAAGCCTCACACTATGTCCCTGAGTTGGGTTGAGACGCCGTGATGTAAATAAAACACTCGTCAAAGCGCCGTTAAACCCAACTTCATCCCCCTTTGTATTGGGTGGACAGGTATTTACATGAGACAAGAGTGAGTGAGTTGGGTTTAACGCCGCTTTTGACAGTATTCCAGTCATATCACGGCGGGTCAGCTTAATGTGGGAGGAAAGCCCGAAGTGATGCAGGTCTCAGACGTTTACCATTTCGGTGAAATCCACGAGCACGGGTGCTGACAAACCTAGAAACATAATCGGGGCGAACCGGGATTCGAACCCACAATCATAGGTTTCTGGTGTGCCCAAGGGGCGCAACTCTGCACAGCGAATCGCGGCGCCTTAGACGACTGGGCCACCCGTGCCCCCTCATGAGACAAGATCTAACAGTGGTTGCCAGACCTTGGAGTATACAGTTGTCGGGGAGTGAAACGCTCAGGGACAGACACTCCGGACCTTCGTGTTTACAAGCCTATAGTGGACAAAATGTCACGATTAAATATGAGTCATCCTAAACGTGCATTTGGTGTATTTCTTCCTGCTAAGATTCAACATTCATTGGAAGAAATGAGATCAGTAAAATGACAACTATTGCAAACGTTGAGTTGGCCCGTAACAAAATCACCTAGTCCTATGGAGTGGATAAAGTATTAGGTATTTAAGTTATCAGCATAACACAGTGATGTTCCTCACCATTCATTAGTCCATCCATAGCATATTCTGGACAATCCTCGCCACCAGAAATGCTGATCTCGTCCAGGTATCTTAGCGCATCGTTTCCATCATCGGTCAAGTAAACCCTGCTTTTGGACACTGAAACAAAACCACAAGTTAATAACACAAGTGTGTATATAAGCAAAACATTTCAAGTAAAATGTTCGAGTTTATACAGTTTTGATTAGAGGTGATGTTAAGATCACGAAGCAATATAGAAACGTCTCATACTTACAAGGGTCACTGAAGAGGGAGAGTATGTAATTAACTGGTTTTTCCAAAGTAGCCCGTATCACAGACGAAACTGCGGCAATGTCTTCTTTCATGGAACCAGAATAGTCTATGACGAATACAACCGAGGCTTCAGGTTTCAGTTGGAATAATTCGTTGAACTTTTTGATCCCGATGATACCCCTGATTCCGTATTCTGGGCACAAACGAAGTGGTATAAATGATTGAACAAAAGCAACTGAAATATTTATATATTGTTGAGCATGATGCAAAATGAAGATTGAAACAATGCAGCTAATAAAAAGTTTTTTGTACATGAACGATGTTACCTTCATCATCAAAGAAGTAAGTGGTGTGTTCAATGGCTGCCTGTGCTGCCGCCTGGTGGAGGTGGCTGTGGGGGGAGAGGGACCCGAGGGTAGAGTCTTTGTTGATGCCCCCCAGGGCTGCCACTGATGAACTGGTGTCGTCCAACGGACCGCCATGACTGCACTTCCCGGTGTTTGAGATGCTGTGGTGTTCTGAAAAGAAGAATGTAATTTATCGTGTTGACAAAATGTTTGAACTATGCAAAGAATTCGAATTCGTATTTCAATGTAGCACCTGAGGAAGTTGTAAACACACATTAAGTAGGATGTGATGATTGTTTGATGCACTTTGATACAACTGATGATAACTATTCAGTAAGTCATCAGCTTTAAACAAGAAAAGAGTGAAATTGATAATGTAGTAAATTTTAAAGTTTACTGTGAGGTTTGACAGCATCTTGTCCACTTCTGTAACCACTTGTTAGAATCTTGCCATCCACAATTATATTGTCTTCACACATTTTGTCCAATTCTCCTCTATAAGAAAGACACTGAGTTGTTAATGTGCCATTTTCGATGATTGCGTACATTCAAACGGGTCTAATACTTTTAGCCAAGGGGCGGCCGGGTAGCCTAGTGGTTTAAGCGTTAGTTCGTCACGCCGAAGACCCGGGTTCGATTCCCGACATGGACACAATGTGTGAGCCCATTTCTGGTGTCCCCCGACGTGATATTGCTGGAATATTGCTAAAAGCGGCGTAAAACTATACTCACTCACTGATACATGTATGTACAGATGACACATTTTTACTTGGGTACGGTCAAAACGCATTACAAAACTCATTATATGCCTTCAAATTGCAAATTGCAACTTGATGTCAACATATCTAAATTAAATTCCAAAATTTAGAAAGGTAAAGTAAAGAAAATAAATTGTCATTTTCGTTTGGTGTTTAAAAAGTTGATGATTACCCAATAAAATTTAAAAATATATAAAAAAGCAATATGGTATTACTAGTTTAATGGAGATCGCATCTTAACCCAGGTTTTGCAAACGAGCAATATAACCGAAATTTGATTGTTTATGAGAAGAATTTACGTTAATATGGCTACCCCCCATTTTATTGTATGAATTCGAAGTTTGGGTCTAGGAAAAGCTAGAGGTTATTGAAACATAACCTTTGCTTTATATAGTGAACTTTTGGTATATAGTGAACTTGAAAAGTCCCACGTCGGTCCCTTAACTTGTCTCAGGTTGTGTATCACATCCTGAAAGTCGATAGTGGTATGAACTCACACAAGTGCCAGTGGCTTAATTTCGTTAAAAATACTCTAAGCCTCTGTGTTTAACTGTAGTATTCCATTTACCGCAATGTTTTGTCGGAAACTGGCTCGTATCAATCAATGGTTGAGAGAACATTGAAAAATCATCGAGTAAAAACCTGGCAGAATACAGTTGCATCAAGCTCTTAAGAATTTTACTGCAAATGTTTCAAGCAAATACCACGTCTCGAAAACTACCATCTTTCACCACATTCAGTATGATACCCAATTCTTTAGTTTAGAGCATCTTCACAAAATGTCCCTACTGATACTGGTAGATGGACCAATATCACCAGAAAACACATCTGTAAACTCTATTACATATTGCAGATGAATTCCATAGTTCATTTCGCCGCTGAGCTTTTATAGAACAAAAAATAGCCAATATCTAAAAATGAACTCTATTGTCCAAACATTTCGAATCTGAAACGCAGCTGGTGTCCTTCTGGCTGTAAAACTTTAAGCAACGCAGTAGGTAATGGTATTACATTTAAAGTTAATATAGTCTGTCCTGTCAAACGGTGCATATGTTATATATCAATCAATGAATCATTGCGCATGTACCACCGATGGTGGTAGTAAGAGAAATACAGAATCCGAGAAAGGATTGTTTAACTGTTGGAAAGGGTCATACTTTGTAAGAAAAGCTTTGAAATACACAAACTAAGGTAACCTATGTTTTAAAACAAAACCTCGATAACAAACTTGATTTCAAAAAGTTTACTTGAGCGCTGTTTTAGGTTTGATTCGTGCCAAGAGCGTATTTATGATACTTGTGTTGCACTTTTCAAATTGTCTCATACCAACCCACATGATACGCAGGCGTCCATTACCGGCGGTGCTTGACCAAGCAGTGGTTTGTTTCGTATTCCTGAACAGATAATGATGATAAGCGTATCCATAAAATAAACTCACTTGTCCCAAACCTACACATGTCTGTATTGTATATTATGTATTTCGTGCCTAACGCGTCGGTGATTTGAAGACTAAGGGTGTGAGTTGAATTCATTCAGAATCATTACTCACCCGAGGAATGTCAGGAAAACTAATGTGGCATCAAATATACTGCCCCCAAACTATGGCAATGCAACCGTATCTGGTAGTGAAGTAAACATAAAATCATATGACCACAATGCAGTCACTTTATCTTGAGACAAATTCCACGGGTACACACCCACACAATCCAGATACATTAAAATCACAACTCTCCATTAATCATACCATTATACCATCATACCATCATACCATCATACTGTTAAATGAATCTCTTCTACACGATACAATAACCACACAATCAGCACAACATGATAACAAGACAATCGCATTAACACATTGCAGACACATTTACACAAAACAATGACTACAAAATCACACAATAACGACCAAAATAGATGTAATTATAGCTATTACCTTACTGCAATACCAAGAAACCCCACTCCTTTGTACGATTCCGAAATAATTGAGCAGCGCATGCCAAAACCTGCACAGCAAACTTCGGTTATAACGAACACGCTTATAACGAACTGACGGATATAACAAACTTACTTTTTTGGTCCCGACAATTTGCTGTAGTTATGCTGTATATATGCGTATAACGAACTACGGTTATAACGAACTGAAATTAGTAGTCCATTTGAGTTCGTTATAACCGTAGTTTACTGTACATTAATATGTCGACAGATAATACTCGACAGGCATACATCAAAGGCAGACCACCAACACATACAACCAAGCAAAGACAAACTCACACAACCAAGAGGTCCATCAATACAAACAACTAGACAACGACAACACATCCAAGCAGAATATCAACTTGAGAAAACGAAGGAATTATTCACTCAACATCCCCTCCAACCAACGTACCAAACAACTCATACAATCTAACAGTCATTTCATCCACATAACCAGCCAAACAAACAAACCATCAACTTATACATTCAATCAAACAGTCATGGGATGTCATGGAATCAGCGGGGGCACGGGTGGCCCAGTCGTCTAAGGCGCCGCGATTCGCTGTGCAGAGTTGCGTCCCTTGGGCACGCCAGAAACCTATGATTGTGGGTTCGAATCCCGGTTCGCCCCGATTATGCTTCTAGGTTTGTCAGCACCATACCCGTGCTCGTGGGTTTCACCGAAATGGTAAAGTCTGAGACCTGCATCAATTCGGGCTTCCTCCCACATTAAGCTGACACGCCGTGATATGACTGGAATACTGTTAAAAGCGGCATTAAACCCAACTCACTCACTCACTCACTCATTGGATCAGCAGACAATCAACTCATACATTCAGAACTAAGGTGACGATAGGGGCAGGCGAAAAATAATTCAGGTATTTAACAGGCTTCTGCCACACACACTCAACAGTCAGGGCATGCTTGTGTCACAAAGCGTGGAGACAGGTGAAGACAATAAGGCATCTGTAGGCGGGAAGATAACTCAAGGCGGATTAGGTTACTTCCTTTATTCACAGGAAGTCATGCATAACATGAAATGTAAGGGTATTGCCCTCTCCTTGAGAGAGAGAGAGAGAGAGAGAGAGAGAGAGAGAGAGAGAGAGAGAGAGAGAGAGAGAGAGAGAGAGAGAGAGAGAGAGAGAGAGAGAGAGAGAGAGAGAGAGAGAGAGAGAGAGAGAGAGAGAATAATGTTTATTATAGTGTCACATGTTATATACACTTCATACTAAAACACGTACACGAACAGTAAAATATAACATCCGACCAAGTATAGTCTACGAGACACTTAGACATAAAAGCAAATTATAACGCCATGATCTGGGTAAGGTAAAATAAGACACAACTAACACAATGTTTAAAATTAAGGTTAGGGTATGAACACGCACGCTCGCACGCACACGCACACACACACGCCAAATTACTTATAAAGTCACGCACACAATCATACACAAACACGTAGGTACCCACACACCCACCCCACACCATACCACGCACACACGCACACACACTCGCACATGTACACGCACACACAAACACACGCACGCACACACACACACCATACGTACATTATACCATACACACGCACACACACATCATACGTACATAATACCCCCCCCCCCCCCCCCCCCCCCCCCCCCCCCACACACACACACACACACATACACACACACACACACACAACACAGGGGTGCATTTATCCTCACCGACACTCAACATAAGCATTACAAGTATAACATTGATCACAAGAAGAAATACTACAATTCGCAAGCATAATGACATACGTGCAGAAAAGCGCACACAGAATCAAATGAGTGACAAGCGTCTTTGGAACATTTAATCAATTAGCTTACAAAGAGTATAACACCCGTTTTCACATCTGAGTAATGTTATAAATTTCTCGGTTGAAGATAAGTTTTTAAAATCTGGCATACATTCACACATAGCGTTCATTACATCATAACGTAAATCATCATACATGTTACAATCAATTAAGAAGTGGACCTCAGTCTCTACTGAGTTAAAACAAAAAGGGCAAGTTCTATCCTGAAGGGGGACAGGGGGACGACTGTACCTCATTTTTTCAATGTTAATGGGGGAGGCTGCCACTGTGTAAAAGTGCCAAATATTTTCTGGTGTTTCTATGGATATAATTTGATAAGACAGAGGGCTCAGGTGCTAGATCCTTCTTAAGCAATAGGTCCTCAGCTTATTACCATTAGGGTTATTAGCATCATTCCACAGCTCTGAAAACCAAGCAGTTTCATCAACTTGAAATAATTTTTGCTTAATGAGAGTGAACTGGCCACGTGGCATCGAATGGACATCGATCAGGTCGACGACGTTTAAGTTTCTAGCTAGCTTGTAAACCTCCTTTTCCCATGAGCGCCCTCTTTTACTTGACCAAGCATGAATGACACGGGGCAATCTTGTAATTTCCATACTGTTAAGGCGGAAGAATAAGCGAAATACTTCTATGCGTTGCTTTGTGACACATGATTTCCAACCCATGTCTCCCCTGGCGGCGACATTTGACGCATTACGTCTAAGGTCGAGAAATTTTTTACATGCTTTGTTTTGCAGAGTGTTTAACTTTTTATGTTCATACAACCCCCAGATGGAAGCACCATATTGCATAATAGGCTGAAACAAGGATTCATACAATTTAGTGTAAATTGCATAGTGTAAAACCACCAGCATCAAAATAGTTTGTACATAAAACACCAAAAGCTCGGCTTGCCGATTTAGCCAGTTCATTAAGTGTACGCATGGCGCCCAAGTGATCATACTGACTCAATGACACGCAGCATGAGCTTTTTATAACGTCGTTGCTTAGTATGCATCGGGAAGTGTTGTCATAATAGTTCAGGTGAGACCTACCGAGGGAGTAGTATGGAACAGCTCCGCTGAACTCAATCCAGTTTGTGTTGCTGTAAAACATTTGCAAGATGTGCAGAAATTGCCCAATCAAATTTCTGGCCTGGTCAAAGTTTGTATTGCTCTGTGACAAAACGGCTATGGCCTGTTCTCTTAGGTTCATCATCTTCTGGTTTGCTGTAGGTGAAATAATTTGAATTAGGTTCGAAAACGTAACGTTTATAATCCTGGATTTCATCTGTCTATAATGACGTGCATAATGAACTCTGTCTAGACATTTATCAGTTGAACAACCATACTGATGAGTGAATGGTGCATAAACAACCTTTCACATACACATACACCAGTGCTACAGTAAGTATATATACTCATGGGAATAAATAAGGGAACACTTAGTTTTAGACAGTAAACTGGTATGCTATGATGGGTTTCCAGTCTTGTCTACCAAATACGCGTTTGAAACAATGCAGACCAGCACATTCATTCCTTGATCAGAAGATATCTGTTTAAAGTTGTTGTTTGTACGATTCTGAGTATATCATTTCCATGTGTTTGTGAATCACTAGCAAAAAGTGATGACACCAGGTGCCCGCGAAAAGGGGAGCTTATCCTGCCCCACCGGTTTCACCCGTCACAAACACATGCAAAGCCATGTCAATTGTTTACCTTGAAAGTATCTGCGACGTATACATGAAGTGTCTGTCACGGGTGTGTAAAGTGGCTGTTACGTGTATGTGAAATGACTGTGACGTTCAGTGAAGTGTCTTTGACGTGTATATGAAGTGACTGTGACGTGTACATCAAGTGTCTGTGACGTGTATATCAAGTGATTGTGACATGTATGTGAAGTGGCTGTGACGTGTATGTGAGGTGTCTGTGACGATTGTATCAAGGGTCTGTGGCGTGTATGTGAAGTTTCTGTGACGTGTATGTGAAGTTTCTGTGACGTGTATGTGAGGTGTCTGTGACGAGTGTATCAAGGGTCTGTGGCGGGTATGCGGAGAGTCTGTGACGTGAATATCGAGTGCCTCTGACGTGTATGTAAAGAGTCTGTGACGTGTATGTGAAGAGTCTGTGGCGTGTATGTAAAGAGTCTGTGACGTGTATGTGAAGAGTCCGTGACGTGTATGTGAAGTTTCTGTGACGTGTATATCGAGTGTCTGTGACGTTTTTGTAAAGAGTCTGTGACGTGTATGTGAAGAGTCTGTGACGTGTATGTAAAGAGTCTGTGACGTGTATGAGAAGAGTCCGCGACGTGTATGTAAAGAGTCTGTGAAGGGTATGTGTAGTTTCTGTGACGTGTATATCGAGTGTCTGTGACGTTTTTGTAAAGAGTCTGTGACGTGTATGTGAAGAGTCTGTGACGTGTATGTAAAGAGTCTGTGACGTGTATGAGAAGAGTCCGCGACGTGTATGTAAAGAGTCTGTGAAGGGTATGTGTAGTTTCTGTGACGTGTATATCGAGTGTCTGTGACGTTTTTGTAAAGAGTCTGTAACGTCTATATCGAGTGCCTCTGACGTGTATGTAAAGATTCTGTGACGTGTATGTGAAGAGTCCGTGACGTGTATGTAAAGAGTCTGTGAAGGGTATGTGTAGTTTCTGTGACGTCTATATCGAGTGCCTCTGACGTGTATGTAAAGAGTCTGTGACGTGTATGTGAAGAGTCTGTGACGTGTATGTGAAGAGTCTGTGACGTGTATGTGAAGAGTCTGTGACGTGTATGTGTCGTTTCTGTGACGTGTATATCGAGTGCCTCTGACGTGTATGTAGGAGTCTGTGACGTGTATGTGAAGAGTCTGTGACGTGTATGTGAAGAGTCTGTGACGTGTATGTGAAGAGTCTGTGACGTGTATGTGAAGAGTCTGTGACGTGTATGTGAAGTTTCTGTAACGTCTATATCGAGTGTCTCTGACGTGTATGTAAAGAGTCTGTGACGTGTATGTGAAGAGTCTGTGACGTGTATGTAAAGAGTCTGTGACGTGTATGTAAAGAGTCTCTGACGTGTATGTAAAGAGTCTGTGAAGGGTATGTAAAGTTTCTGTGACGTGTATGTGAGCAGTCTGTGACGTCTATATCGAGTGTCTCTGACATGTATGTACAGAGTCTGAGTCTGTGACGTGTACGTGAAGAGTCTCTGACGTGTATGTAAAGAGTCTGTGACGTGTATGTGAAGAGTCCGTGACATGTATGTAAAGAGTCTGTAAAGGGTATGTAAAGTTTCTGTGACGTGTATGTGAGCAGTCTGTTGCGTGTATTTGAAGTTTCTGTGACGTGTATGTGAGCAGTCTGTTGCGTGTATTTGAAGTTTCTGTGACGTGTATATGAAGAGTCTGTGACGTGTATGTAAAGAGTCTGTGACGTGTGTGTGAAGTTTCTGTAAAGTAGCACTGTCTCTCTGTTGTAACACTATGTGATATAGGGCGCTTGCCCACAAACCTTTGTGAATAAAGCCGAATCTTAAACTTTCAACTTATTATCTTGAAATTACAACTTATTATATTGTGAAATGCATCGGGTATCACCTTTGTCACTCGTCATAATACTTTGAAGCTTGGGATCGTGCAACCCTTATCAAACAACTTTGGAGTAAGAGTCGTATGACGATCATTGAAACCCTCATAGAAAAGGAATGCTCCATTGAACCTCAAAGGTTGTGAAATGTAGACACCAAAAACACTTCTACGAAAAACAAAGTATAATCACTCGCAAAAGTATTCAAACTCGAATTACTGTCATCGTGTCAAAGTCCAATTAAACATGGCCTACCTTCCCTGATGGTTTCGCCGTTACAGTGCCAGGCAGACACATTGAACAGATTCAGATTTACTTGGTTGTTGGCATTGATGATGCTGGTAATGGTGTCCTGAAAACGAGTTTCTGACACGCCTTCTGTAACGACAAATGCATCCTCATACACAAAGAAAAGACGCGTCATTTGATCCAAACCACCTGTCTATCATTCTATTTCATACTTTGATTTTGCCATAGTTCCCATATAGATTACGTGTATGTATTGTACTGTATGACATTCTGAGGAATGATGAACTGCTATCTTTCATCAATCCATGTACCAAAATACCAATATACGAATGCAATAAACATAAACATGTGATCGAATATTGTCTTCAATCAAAGAGCTGAAACAAGTGATATTTAATCCCGTACAAATAATGTATATATAATGCAGAATCAGTCAGAGACAAGGAAACCAATGGTGCTTAGTCTCTCTTTTTAAATATGCTAAAGATCAATAAATGACAAGACAATTGACAGATATGGTTGTGTAATGAAAAGAACATGGCATAAGAATGATTGAACTACTGAAACCAGTGTATCCCCTTTCTGTAAAAATTGATTAATTAGCATAGCATGAATGTTTTGCATGTACTTGTATAGCAGAAGAAGGTCATTATGTCGGTTGGGTGAAGATTATTGGGAAATAATTCTGAGCAGGTCATATAGGAGGCGCATTCTATATTTCTACAGGCCAACTGATCCACAGGCCAAATGAGAAGTGCATTCTTTGTTTCTGTAGGCCAAATACCAAAGAGGCCCAAAGTGAAACGCATTCTTTATTTGTACAGGCCAACTGATCCACAGGCCAAATGGGAAGAACATTCTTTGTTTTTGTAGGCCAACTCACCCACAGGCCAAATGGAAAGTCCATTCTTTGTTTCTGTAGGCCAAATACCAAAGAGGCCCAAAGTGAAACGCATTCTTTATTTGTACAGGCCAACTGATCCACAGGCCAAATGGGAAGAGCATTCTTTGTTTTTGTAGGCGAACTGACCCACATGGGAAGTGTCTGGTAGGGTATGCACCATAATGCAATGCAGATACGACTTGTGTTATTTACCTCTTGTATCTTGGACAATACAATTCCCTGATACTGTATACTTTGTAATGTAGAATGAACCTATGCCTGCAATACTTGATGAATAAATTTTTTGTTAGATTATTACCATAAATAAGGTACAAAATACTCAGTAACAATCTCCACATTGCGACATGATAAGCATTGTAATGATGTCAGTACTGAACACAGAAACAAGACATGTCTCCCTTGTAGCAAAATATCACAATTATGTAGGTAAAAGATAAGGGAAGGATTTTGTCCCTGTTGTTCCTGTTAAATAAAGGGGCGGTCGGGTAGCCTAGTGGTTAAAGCGTTCGCTCGTCACGCCGAAGACCCGGGTTCGATTCCCGACATGGGTACAATGTGTGAAGCCCATTTCTGGTGTCCCCCGCCGTGATATTGCTGGAATATTGCTAAAAGCGGCGTAAAACAATACTCACTCACTCACTCCTGTTAAATAAACTTTACATCCACGGTTTGTCCCCCTACGTGTCATGTACACATTTCTATACAAAATTACATGATAGTTTCTTAAAGAACTTCATCCGTCATGGGTCTTAAATTAAACAAAATTCAGATTTTGTTGGGTACAGGGTCAAGTACCGTATTGATGTTTCATACACTTTTCTGGATTTTGAGTTATTTTGCAATTCATCGTTCTCATCTGGAGTCAAACGGACTGTAGTCCAGGGGAACTGACAGAAACTATTTCACGCTTAGCAGATTTATCACAGTCGCGTGTTACAGATAGGGTGTATAAAAGAAGAAAAGCTCGACCTGTTGAAAACGTGTGAACAATACTTGTATATAGTTTACATTTTAAACTGAAGTGCAATGGGTAGTTAAACTATTAGTATGTACGTCACCTCCATAGTAAGCTTGGAACAGTTTTCTCGTCGTGATGTTTTTCATCTGCGTCAGATCGCCAGCTGCAAGGGTGCTGTTCGGCCTAGGGTTGGCCTCAAAGTTGGACGCTACAGCCTTCAATATCCCGACCTCAGTAATGTCAGCATGAGTCAATGTTCCATCTCCTATGTCGACACCTGACAGTCTGCTGGGGAAAAAGGTGATGACTCCTTGTGGCAGTACATGTAGCATCACCCACAAACATGCTACGAGACGCATGGTGGAAGAGCTACTGATTGTAGACATGTCGACAGGATTCTTTATGAAGGTGGGTGTAGAGGTCGCATACACCGGCACAGTGATGAATGATGACAACAACCAGGGCTCAATTACCGCACCTGGGCCATGATGTCGCCACCAAAGGACCTCAACTGGAACGTTACCACCCGAGTCATCTCACCTGGGGCATGACGTCCCTACCCAAGTTTTGCATGTAGTTGTTAAACCTCTTTGATAGACATTTAGAAGTTGGAGTACTTAGTAATGTTAGTTAGTTAGTGAGTATGGTTTTACGCCGCTTTTAGCAATATTCCCGCAATATCACGGCGGGGGACACCAGAAATTGGCTTCACACACTGTACCCATGTCGGGAATCGAACCCGGGTCTTCGGCGTGACGAGCGAACGCTTTAACCACTTGGCTACCCGACCGCCCCACTTGGTAATGATAAGATATATGGATGAACAACTTCTTTATTACAATTAAGAGTGTAGCTTCTAACAGGGGGCCAAACTGGACTTGTTATTGTGTGGTATGGATGTGACGTAGACTGTCACCAAGACCCAAGAGAATTAATTAAAAAAGGAGTCCAACTCAAGTCTAGAATGATTGGGAAAGTTTGCCATAACACTAGCATGAAATAAAGATTGGTATGTGCTCCTTTTTAATTTTATTATTTTTATTTTGTAGACATTGATAGACCAATGGGAAAGAAATTGATGGAACATTCATATCACGTATTACCACTGATCCAGTTAACTCCATCACACACAAAAATATAAGTATTTGATATTACGAAGTGCATTATCATATACATGTAGTACATTGTACACACTAGTCCCCGTTGAAGTAATGTACATACTAGTCCACTTGATGATGATTGTTATTATAAAGCAGCGTGGTACCAATAATAACTTTATGATATCCTCACTTGCCATCGATGCATTGAAGCATTGACACTTCAAAATTCTTATTCGAGCTATACATAGCTTCATCAGTGGCAGCACCGATGTCAGTAAACTAATAAAATTTTCGTATAAACACACAATGCCATTTAGAAAGTGGTCAAATGTAACAAATGTTATATTTGGGATAACACTCTCTGAGTAAGTACATTCAGTGAGTGAGGCATTAATCGCCAGCACACAAAGCGCACAAAGTTATTATATACTCTGTATTATCTCGTCATGATAGAATATTTCATTTTATGATGCTTGTTAAATTATCCACAAATATTGAGAGATACAATGTAAACATCTACCTGGACGTATACAATAATGCTTCTGAAGTGCATATCTGATAAATTGGACTTATGGACTAATATTCCCTTCTTTAACACTGCCAGTTACAGGCATTCTAGTCTTGACTTTTTACCATTTATAGTTTAACAGTTGGGAAATATTGCATTTCAAATAATGGCAAATGAGTGAGTGAGTGAGTTTGGTTTAACGCCACTTTTAACAGTATTCCAGTAATATCGCGGCGTGTCAGCTTAATGTGGGAGGTCTCTGACGGTTACCACTTCGGTGAAACCCACGGGCACGGATATGGTGCTGACAAACCTAGAAACATAATCGTGGCGAACCGGGATTCGAACCCACAATCATAGGTTTCTGGCGTGCCCAAGGGACGCACCTCTGCACAGCGAATCGCGGCGCCTTAGACGACTGGGCCACCCGTGCCCCCTAATGGCAAATGAATGTCTAATGCAGTGAAAACATCTTGAATTCATTATAATTTCTGCAATAAAAGCGTAACATCACATAGTGATATAAACGGATATGATCCATACTGTGATAACGTATTTATTACTTAATGTTTCTTATTATGAATTTAATAAACTAAAACTAAAATAAGAAAAAAATAGTACAAACAAATCATTTTTTTATCTCTGTGTGTGTGTGTGTGTGTGTGTGTGTGTGTGTGTGTGTGTGTGTGTCCATAGATCGAGGCAACTCACTAACGTAACCGTTTGTAAGAAGTCAAGTATTTACTTCTTGGTAATATGTAGCGTTAGCACCAAAATCAGGTAATATGACATTTCCTGCCATATCACACACACTGCATAGTTGGACCATGAAGAGAACCAGTGCCTGCAGCCTCCATTAGACCACATGGTTTACATTTATGCTGATGGTCAGCACAGAGTAAGAGGCTCAATGAGTTGGGTTTGCTCTTTTCAAAGGAAGTGAATGGTAGTTATAGGATATATTCACAATGTGAATGACACATATGAAAAGTTAAAATGTCTATTAACAGTACAGTCATAATATTGATATGTTCTATTATGCATCAAGTGTTTTAAATATATGTTTTCATATAATCAGCATATTTTTATAAGGCCACAAATGTAACCTTTACTTACAGGGGTAGAAAACGTTGGCATATCAACAGTCACATATGTGTTGAACATGATACTTCTAGCTGAAATATTCAAACTGTCATGAACAATTTTTTGTAAACCTCCAGGCTGAATGTGAACGTGAAGCGCTCGTTGGTTCCTGCTCTGATATTTTACAAACAACAAATTATAAACAAAGCCTTGCAAAAATATCATGTACCAAAAAGAATAATGGCATAATGTTGAATGTTGATGAGGCAAAACGTAATATGGAGGGAAAACAGCATGAGTTCAATACAAAAACAATATATCAATTAATAATAGGGGTCTTTTTGCCAGAACAAAAGAATATTAAAGTTACTCAGAACAAAACAACATGTATGTAAACAAACTCAGCTGGAACAACTGGAACCCTTATTTATCAAGACAGGAACCAATTCGGGAAGCTATTAAATGATACTAGAATTTATTCATCCTGATCCTGAGGAGCTAACAAACCACTTCAAGAATATTTACAACACTAAAACAAAGAGATATTCATATACGTGACAGTCTTAAAAATCAAATAACAGCTAATGAAATTCTGACTTTTATAAAAAATTCAAGTCCAGGCGAATATAACATAAGGAAATAAAAAAAAATTAATCAATATATTGTACATTGATAGACCAGTTGGTTGAACTGTTTAATGTCTAAAATAGTAGTCACTTCCCAGAGAGTTTAGTCATGCACTATGACTGTGGAATAAATGTATTTGAAAAAAACAAAACAATCTAGAAATGTATACAAAGGCAAGTCTAGCCAGCTCCAGCTAGCTATATGCCAATGAATTCTTACATGAGAAGGGTGATAAGACTGACCCAAACAACTACAGGTGTTTTACAGTAAGCAGCTGCTTGGGTAAGCTATTTTGCAACTTCATAAATGAAAGAAAAACGGAAAACATGGAAGACATGGAAAAAACTCTATTAGAAGACCACTGTAAGTCTTGATTTAAAAGGGGATACCGAACGTCACAAAATGTATTTGTTCATCAAACATTAATATATTCTACAAAAAGTAAAAAGAAAAGAATATACAGTTGCTTTGTAGACTTTCAAAAGCCCTTTGATTCAGTTGACAGATCACTACTCCTTACAAAGATGTTATCAATTAATATTTGAAGCAATGTATTAAAAATAATATCATCACTATATCGCTTATGAAGTGAAAACTGACAGGGACATTTCACAATCCTTCAACTCCAACATCGGGGTAAGACAAGGATACATTTATTCTCCCACATTATTTGACATATTCCTCAATGATCCTCCACTTTATATCAAATTTGAAAGTTATAATATAACACTTAAAGGTTTGAACATTTGTCATTTGTTGTTTCCCGATGACTCAGTACTATTTGCCGATTCAAAAAACACTACAAGTGTTACTTGATGGTCCAAGTGTATTTTGAGAAACAAATTACCTAAATGGTTACAAATGGTTTACCGCCAACTGGGCGTCGACAGATATTTTGCAAATCTTTTCATGTTCTTAATTAAAGTGCTCATGTAATTTGATGCACTTCGCGAGGTAAGGCTCGTACACCCATTGATATAAGGGTAACGCTATTTTTCAGGGCATTATCATTTGCAGAAGCCCGAGGACTTCCATTAACTGCCCGACGAAGGAGGGCAGTTGAAAAGACCGAGGGCTTCTGCAAATGATAATGCCCTGAAAAATAGCGTTACCGTTATTATAGCTAAAATTTATGGAATTTGTTATCAAATAAAAAGAAACAACAATATCGGTTTTGAAACATTTACTGCAATCAACACGAATGTCACTGACCCACTTTAACAAATATGGAAACGCCATAGAACAAACCAGATAACGTCACTATTGAACGTTACGTCACCTATCCCTATCCTATGACGTCACCTAACAACGGGCGTGATAATGGCCCGTCGTCAAGTAATATAAGGGCATTATCAAGTTACAGTGGCCCGCTCATTTCTGATAACATGCGGGCGTTTTTATGATAATTCTATCCAGTTTAGCTATAATGTACATTAATAGCTGTCGTTGTGAATAAGCAATACTGCAATAAACTGACATGCATGGTTTGCTCACTGTCGCTGATAGTTCTCTCCGTTCTATGTTTCGTAATGCATCCGGCTTCTCCAGTACAAAAAAACCTCTCTTGCCTTTACATTGCCGATTGTATACATGAAACCACCATCGGGCGTGGGAAGAAATCTCGAATGTGACATAACTTCAGCAAATTATATATCTTAATTAATATATAGATGGTAGCAGCAATGGCAGGTTCTAAGTGTTGTGCGTACAAACGTACGCAAAAATATTCGGCCATTTTCAAATCCTCAAATGGTTTGCCTTGAATAACGTTAGCGCTTTGGGCACAAGATAACGCCATATTGGTTTAATGGCTCCCGGTCGGATCTATGTATTATCGATCGGATCGTCTTGACATGATGTCGCCATTTTGTTTGAAACAAGTCCAAGTGATATAAGAGGTGGAATCTGATTGGTCAATAGGAGGGACATAGAAGGGACATTACTCGTAAAAGCCATTGCTTGCGCTACGATCGAGTCTGGAAAATGTAAAATGTACACTGAAAGCTAAATGAAACGTCATGTGGATGTATCATATAAATATCTTTATTTTCAAATGCTTATATATGTAAATGAAGACA